GAAAAAAGTTGAAATAGATAGAAACTAATTTATCAAGATTAAAAATTCTCTCTATAGTTAAAGTTTTATAGTGAAAATAGAATTTTTAAAAGCAAACGAAATTTCACAAATTTTTCACGAGCAATTTTTTATTTATTTTTAACTATATACCTATCATGAAAGCAATATATAGTTTAATACAGTGGCAAAACATCTTGAATGGAAGTTTAAAATTGGAGTTAACTAGACTTTTCATCTCTCAATAAATCTGCTGATTAAAGTTATACTTTGCAAAGGGAGAGCGAAATCAATGTACCCAGGGACAATAATTTATTCATAAAAATTGTATATCTTAATAAAAAAAGATTTTAATTCCTTTCTCTATAATTTTTTATTGAACCTCTCTAACTTATCAATTCCAAGAAAAAATAAAGAGAAATTTAATCTTCTCAAATTAAGATTATTATTAAATAATTAATCTATTAATTCTGGAAAAAATGAAGCGAAATTTAATCTCAAATTGAGAGTGTATTCGAAGAAGAACTATTACACCAGGTATCGTCTCATTTGACTGATAGTATATTATTACCGTTAAGAAATATTTGCAGACAATTAACACGTCAATCTCAACAGAACGAAATGTTTATTATTATTTTGGAAAATTTATTTCCGCTCTATTTTTTTTTTTTTTGCGAAAGAATATAACAGAATGTTTTGATGTGTAAGCTAAGAATGACGTCATTAAGCTTGAAAGAATAATCAATACGTAACAAGAGCGTATTATGGACCAACGTGTGATGCTGCTTGTTGCACAATTGGACGAAATACAGGAAAAAAAATTCTATTTTCCATATAATGTCGGATTTGTTTTTAAATTCGGAAAAATATAAACAAGGATGTAAAATAGGAAATTTCCTTTTTTTCTCCTTTTTGTTCTATTTTTGCTGATGAAGAGCAACAGAAAATCCAATTGAAGAAGAAGAAGAGATTTCTTTCTAACGAAACTGGAAATCATTTTATATCCTCAATGACTATTTTTTCCAGAATAATTTAAGGGATTAAATTATTTCCAGTTGATTTTTAAAATGAGTGGGGTATCAGTGACTGGGATGTGAAGCGACCTTTACTCGAGGAGGGTCGACGATGTCGACATCCTTTCAAATGCGCATGCGTATTTCCCACCAAATTATTTCTGGATTCCAATTTTTGCAGAGATTATCAGCAGGCCAGGAAATTTTGTCAATAGACCCGCAAAAACTAAAAAGGAAACAATAGCAATTAATTGAATCTAATTGTGAAGAATACGTATTTATTAAAACATTATTATGCAATTTTAAATCATTTCCAATTTGTCAATTTTAAATAGTCAATTGGCAATTGTCAGTTGCTAATTTATAGTCAACAATATTCAAACAATGTCAACAATGTCGAAATTAACAACAATTTCAAACATAACAAAAAGTAAAGAATTCAAAAACTGAAGAGCACTTGAAAATTAACAATCAAATCATGTGAGTCTGAATTTTTTAATTTATTATTTTTTAAAATTAAAACTGAAAAAATGGGGGACTAACTCTGCTGGAGATGGAAAGCCAGGATTGTTATTTTTATTGCTATTTATTATTTTTTGAAATTAAAAAGGAAGTTATTGATGAAACTAAATTTTACCAACAAGTTTATAAGAAAACAATTACTTTAAATACGTTTCAATTTTACAAATTGATAAATGTTTCAATTAATGATGAATTAAGACTACTTACGACATGACAAGATATATTATTTTTTATGTTACTCAATAAAATTATATATTTTTTTTCATCAATGCTTTCCTTTCAATTAATATTACTTTTATCAGAAAAAGAAAATTATGATTTAAATTATCAGTAGTTCGTTCGTTTTCTCTATATTAATCGTAATACAAATAATTACATATCGGGAGCAAAGTTAACGTAAAATAAATCAAATAAGTTAAAAATAAATAAATCTAATTTATAGATTCTAATATTTAACTAATTTTGTTTCAGGAAAATAAAAATATTTGTACAAAGCAATTATCGGAATTAGAACAACAGTCGAAAAAAATTTAACAAAGGAATCTTTTTGTGATAACAAATTTCGAAACATAAACTCTCCAGGAAACAATATTTGGTACAAGATTATTTAGAAATTTTCCCATTATCCCAGATACAAATTTAGAAAACTTGAATTAAAACTAAAATTTTTCAAAATCGGTATCGAATAATTTTACAGAAATATTTAAGTTTTCTTCGAAAAAAATATATATTCTAAAGTTTCGAACGTTAAAATGGACGAAATTTTTTTCCATTCAAGTATTTCCCAAAAATTACAAAACTAAAATGAAAATAGAATAAATAAAATATTTTCATAGCTAAAAATTAATTTTTTAAAGTACAAAAAGCTCTTTTTTTTAATAATTTTGTGCTTTTCTTTAGTAAATCCGTTTCTATCAAATAAATAAATAGAAAAAAAAATTCAAATTGAACAAAGTGACGAAAAAATCTCTCTTCATTGAACGTTCAAAAATTTAGACGGGAAATAAATAAATAAAATAAATTTCTTATTGCGAAAAAAGCGAATAAAAATATAATTCCAATTTTATGGGAAATTATTTTTTTTTAAATTCGTTAAATGAATTCGTTAAATTAATAACCGGGGATTAAATAATTGGTTCAAATTAACGCTTTTGTTTATACGCGGCACTAATTTATTTTGACTCTCTTTTGCATTTCATGTAGGAGTATATTTCGTAGGCGTAGTAAATATATACAACTCGATATTCCATTCTTCACAAAAACTCCATTTATGATGTCCGGAAATATTGAATTTATGTTAATTGATGCAATTGCGTTGCATCTTTTCTTTATAATGAAGAAATAAATCAATATTCCCATACAATCAATTTCTGGAGCAATAAATAATCGTATCGAAATCAATATAGTTCAAAAATCAATCAATTGATTTTCGATTCGAATGAAGAAAAAATTCGCAAACATCAATAAGTAAATTTATAAATAAGTATTTTATTATTATTTTTCCATACTTAGGAATTAAAATTCTTCAAAACATTCAAAATAAAACATTTTTAAAATTTAACAACTTATAAGAATATTAATATAAAACATGAAGATATCAATTACTCCGAGTCTTCGACTGGGAGTAATTGATATCTTCATGTTTTATAAAAATTTTAATTTCCATAAAATTTAAAAAAAAAATTAAATTATTTACACAAATTATAACAAAATTCGTTGCAAGAATTCAATTATTTTCATGAATAATAAAATTATTCGCAGAGTTTCAATTATTTTTAATACAATTTTAAGTAAATTCTTCGAAAAATGTAATTATTTTCAAAAATTTTTTTTAAATTCTTCGAAAGAATTTGATTATCAATTATTTTTAAAAATTCGTGCTATAATGCTTTTAATATTCAATTATAATCTAAAATTTTAACTAATATTCATTTTTTTATCAATTTGTGAAAATAATTGAAGCCCTAAGAAGAATTTTATTATTTTTCAACAATATTTAATTTTTGAGAAGAATATTATTAATCTTGAAAATAATTAAATTTCTGCAATAATTTGTAACTTTACCAAAATTACATCTTTTTTCGTGTTTTTAACTAATTTAAAAAAAATTGTAATAAAAATTCATTGTAAGAATTCAATTATTTTCCTAAATAATAAAATTTTTCACAGGATTTCAATTATTTTTAATACAATTTTAAGTAAATTCTTTTGATAAATGTCATTATTTTCAATAATTTTATTAAAATTCTTCAAAAGAAGTCAATTATCAATTATTTTTAATAATTTTTACAAAACTTCCTGGAGAATTTTAAAATTCATTTGTTTACAATTCAGTTTTACGAAATTTTTAATTATTCGGATATTATATTACTTTTGAAAATATAATTGAATTCTTTAGACGAATTTTATTAAAATTTCTTTTTAAATAATTGAATTCTTTTGTGAAATTTTATTGAAATAGTAGGTAGACATTGAAAATAATTGAATTTCGACAAAATTTATTAAAATTATTTTGAAAGAAATTGAATTGTTACAAAGAATTTCATTAAAATTTTTGAAAATAATTTAAGTCTTTGAAAAAATTTAATTAAAAATGTATTGAAAATATAGGCAAAAGTTTTTAAAATAATTGAATTTCTTTGATAAATTTTAATCCAACTTTTAAGAACAATTTCATTTGTCGAGAAATTTAATGAAAATTGTATTAAAAATAATTGAAATTCTATGATGAGTTTTATTATTCATGAAAATAACTGAATTATTGCGAAGAAATTTTTTAAAATAAATGTTTTTTTTTAAATAATTGAATTTTTTTGAAAAATTTTATTATTATAGTAGAAATTGAAAATTATTGAATTGAGGAAAATTTTTTGAAAATAATTGAAATTTTTGCAAAGAATTTTATTATTATTAAAAATAATTGAATTTTGACGAGAATTTTTTTTAATTTTTGAACATAATTGAATTTTTGCGAAGAATTGTATTACTTTTGAAAATAATTGAATTTTTGCGAAGAATTGTATTACTTTTGAAAATAATTGAATTTTTGCAATCATTTGTAACTTCTCTAAAATTCAATTTTTTCCAGTACTTTAATAAAAATCCCTGACTTTTCCCTCATTTTCCTGACCTATTTTACTTTCCCTGACTTCCCTGATTTCCCTAACCTGTGGCAACCTTGATTTAGTAATAGAGAGATAGAGACATTTTGTAATAAAATTTATAAATAAAAAAATTATTACAGTCTCCATTACTTTCTCGGAAAAATTTGTTAATTTCCTCTGCAGAAAAAATAGACCCTATAAAGAGAATAGAATACTTAGGTAAATTGGGACCCTTCATGAGCCAATTTCAATACTCAATAACTTTAGAAATTGTTCAAAAGCTATAAAATTATACTACAGAGAAATTTTACTACCTGAAGACATGAAAGAAAATTATTTCTAAGTACCGGCAATTTCAACTTACTTTCTGAATGGACTTAAAGCACTTCCCCAAATACTAGTTCTCGTTGGCGATTGAAGGTTGTTTTGATTTGTATTCGAATATCCTAAACCTCCGAGAAACATTTTGATTTTTTCCCCCTTCCTTACTTTGGAAAAATGCAATAAAAATATATATATATATTACAATTCTATTAACGATAACAATCCAATTTCTATTAAATACTGATTTCTTTGTACTTTCACCCTTTGGCACAATTTTTGGCGCGAAAAATCAGTCTTATGTAAGAGCAGAAAATTTAAAGATTAAGTGAGTAAAATTTCAAAATTTGGAAAAATTTCTTTCTTTCAATGATGAAAAGCGATGAGGGGGAGAGGAAATAAATCTAGCTTTTGTAAAATGTCCTTTGTAATGAAAACTGTTTTCGAAAAAATCACTTGACAATAATTTTCAGTCCGGATGCTGTGCCAAAATGAAACTCAAGGCGAGATGAGCACGTTGCCTGAATTATTATTGTCCATCCCTTACGGCGCACATTCGCCTCAAATGTATCAGAATCAATTCGTGATAATTCAAGATGATTTCTAGATAAATAACACTGAACACAAAAAACACAATGTTAACCGATTCTAAACAAACAACGAAAAAAAAGAAATTATCACTTAAATCAAATGTCCAGAGTTAAATCACATTGGGTCCATTCGTTAAAAAATACTGTCACCAACTTTTTCAGTCAAAAAATCCCAGAAAATCCGTTTATGGCACAGAACGAGACGAACTAAATAAACAAAGTTTAACAGTTAATTAAAGAGTTGAAAATGTCATTCGAAAGAAAACTTCACTTTTGTGGTAATTTTCCTTTTTTCACCATTCTCTTTGCAAAAAATAATCTCTTTTTCGCCGATGGTCTATTATGACCCATTGTTTTAATTTCTTTTTTCAATTGTCCTTTTTGTCTCCCACTAAAAAAGTGATGTCAAAAATATCGCACTTTTAAAAATAAGAAACTTGTGTCATTAAAAATATATTAATGCAATATTTGTTCTCTACTGCGGGTGTAAATAGAAATTGACGATAAATTTTATCACATATACACACAAACGACTATTCGACGGACTAGAGTCGACTGAAGAAGACGGCAGCGTGGATGCGCTGGAATGATGAAGAGGGGGTGAGAAATGCAACGAAAGAGGGGCAGAAAGCTCCACTGAAAGTGGGAGTTCACACATGTGATGATCGATCTGAAATTCACAATAAATCTCTCTTTCGAATTTCCAATATTCTCAAGTCTCAAGCTCCAAAATCAATGAATAACGACACAAATTTTGATCAAAAAAATCAAAACCTTTTAGATAAAAAATCTAGAAACAATATATTTTTTTTAACACAATTTTCGTGTCACGAATCTTGAAATTATTATCGAAGTCAAGCAATCTAAGCTCCTTAAGTAGTTCGCAAAAGGTCAAGGTGTCTTAAGATGCGAATCGATGGAAAATAATGCAGTAAAGTTGATCCTCCTAATTTTGTTTACATCATTAAATCTTTTCTAAAATTTTCAACTCAAGTAAACGAAAAGTTTACTTCTGCGTAATTTCCACTCCAAAAAACTGACCTAAACAATAAAAATACGTATTAATTTCTGTAAGAACTAATTGTAGAAATTAATTTTAGAAATTAATTTTAAAACTCTTGTATTAATTATAAATCACTGCAACTGTAAATTTAATAATAGTAATCGACATTTATTCAATAAATGATATAAAATTTCTACAGTGAGTGGCTTTTGACCTCAAGAATTGTTGATATGATAGAGCGAGAAGAAAATAAATTAATGGAAAGTTTCGAAGTAACCTGAACAATTTAAATAAGATAATATTTATAACTTGTGCTTTTGGCTTGAAAAAGGATCTGTGACACTTAAGCGAATCTGGAGCATTCAATGGATCGATAAGAGGATATTTAGAAAAGGAGAAAAAACAATAAATTAATAAAACACTTGCCAAAAATTATAATAAGTGTCCTATAAATTCCTAAATTATTAACCAAGAAAAAAAATATTTTCAAGTATACCACAAAAAGATAATTCTTTTCTTTTTCACCAAAAAAAAAGTAATTTCAAATAAATAAATAAAATAAAATCCTTCCTGAAATAAATTATTTTCTACATTTTACAGCTAAACTTCGTCTCTAAATCAATTATCTATATTCATTTTAAATAATTTTCCGAATGTTCGATTAGAATTTAATTATTTGAATACAAAAAATCAATTTTTTATAATAATAGTAATTGTCCATGTTTTTTAATTAATAAAAATTAGTAATAAAAATAATAATAATAGAAATTATAATAAAGAAATTCTTACAATTAACTTTTTAAAAATACTTTTAAAAAAATTCTAAGAATTAGTTTTTAAAAATATTTTAATGTAATTTTTCAAAAATAATTAAATTTCTTAAAAGAATTTTTGTATAATTTAAAAAAACTAATTAATTTCTTGAGGAATTTTTAATTAAAAATTTAAAACATGATTATTTTCGCACTATAAAAATCGAAATATGTTGCACTTTTTTAATAAAAATTGTGGTATTTTGTTGGAATAATTGGAAAAAGAGTCGAAAAGGTCGCAATTTTTGAAAATAAATCGAAAAAAGTCTCAATTTTCTTAATTTTCCTGACAAAAAATTGTTTTCCCCGACATTTCCCTGACTTTACTGACATGTGGCTACACTGTAAACAATTATGATTAATAGTATTATGATTCAAATATAGAAAGTGATACAAAAATAAATTCCCTTATTGCCGTTTTTGTGCATTCAAAGCTTGAAAGATTCTGTGGAGATAACCTTAAAAATATTATGCGAGATGAAATATGAAAATAGAGGTTATGTGAGAAATGTGAAATTATGACAAAAACTGCACACAATTTATGCATCAATCATGTTCCCCTTTAAGAAAGAAGAACACTAAAAATATTCCGATTATTGTTTTAGCTTTATTAACTTTATTATAGAGAAAAACCCCCGTGTGTATAGGATAAAAATAACACAAAGACGCAAGTCAAAACTGAATGGTTACTCACATTTCAAAGCAGTTTATAGACGCTATAGTGTCGTCCTCCATTTTTCTCGTGATATTTGTTCAAATTAACGCACAATTAAACACTATTTATCCATTAAAAAATTGTTTTTACACTCTCACAACAACAATAAGAATAAAATCATCAGCAAACCGTCATTTTCAAAACAAACGTTTGATTGTTGATTGGTTTACAAACTCCATTTGACGCCATTTTGTTTCACACTAGTTCCATTAGTTCTGATTGGATGTTCGACAAGTGTTGCCAACTTCGTCTTTTAAAACTTCCCTCCACTTCCCTCATGCAATTTTTTAACAAAAAAACCCTAATGCGTTGTTTTTTTATTTTAATTTGATCCTAATTTTGACAGTATCAGACAGTCTTCAGTTTATTATTGTATTATAAATCATGCTAATTTTAAAATTTCCAAAGTTAATATTATAATCCCGGTTTAGTGCGAAAATGAATGAAATAGTTGAAGTAGTGTTAAAAATTGCTCTTGGCACTGCAATTCTTAATTCGTGTAATATTTTTGTACTTAATATTATTTACACAATATTCTGGCTTTTTCTGACTGCTTTTGGAATTTTTGTATTCTCGACTTATTTCCCCTTTTAGATATAGAAAAAGTGTATTCAAATTTCCCGCGATAAACTAGTTACTTTCGATCGTTTCAATTTCCTAGAATTTTGTGTACGAAATTTTTAGGTTAGTTACGTCACTTATAAAAGTGATAATGGCAGTCGTGTGGTGGATGATGATTTTTGTTGTTGTCAGTTAAAATGCAACAATTACCGGATCAACAATTATTAGTAGAGTGTATAAAACAGAAATTAATATAAAATGAAGTTTCATAATTTTATCTACGAGGATATAACGATTTGAAGGTACTAGAAATTGACCCATATTTCGTTATCAATTGTGACGTTGACATTTGACAGGTGGTTACTGACATCCACCTTTAATCCTTATCAATAAAGAAAAAAAAGCTGCACTATGTTCGCTAGTTTGAAGAACAAAATAAGAGAAGAAATTGGAAGTGACGTTTCTACAGTTGTCAGAAATGCAGGAAGTGTCAGAGGAATTAATTCCAAACTTTTGTCCCAGGTAAATTGTTTTACAATTATTAGATTTTCCTATATTTCCTACATTTACGACCTTGATAAGATTTAATTATGTTTTCCTTACGCGGCGTCAATACTTTTTATTAGATCTTGTTTTTTATTTCACTATCGTCACAGAGAATAATTCGAAATTGATTTAAATTCATTCAATAGATAAATCGATTCATAATTATGATAATCATATTCATAAAATAATTTTATAATTTATTTTATTGTTAAAAAACTTAACGCTTTTAATACGTTTGACAATTTTTCTATTTTTCGATTACATTTTAAAGTATTTTATTTTTTGTTACTTAAATTGTTTTCATTTGGTTCAATAAAAAGCCTCCGAATCGTTTTTTGTTATTCTTAGATAATTGTTTTTGTATTTGAGTTTTCAGGTCATTGTCAACAGTGTTATATTCGTCACTTTCAATTAATATTCTTTAGTTTATTAGTTGCATTCAAGTTCACGAATAGAAGCCTTTGTTGTCTTTATAAAGATTCAATTTATATTTTACATTATCTTTTTAATATTGCATCATTTTTAATAAAATAATTATTTTAGAGAATTTATAATAATTTATAATTATAATAATTTTTTTTAATTTACAGACAGGATCAACCAGTAGTGTCAGTGGATCTCAGATATCTCTAGACGATTCTCGAGATGAAAATCCTATTTCGTCTTCGCCGCCGATATCGTTAAAACGTGAGAACAGTTTTGATTTTAAATTGACCGATGGCACACAACTTTCTTCCAAAGATGTTAAAAAATTTGAGAATAGAGAAGACGAATGGCGACGGAGACTTCAGAAAAAGGAAACTGAATTGCTCAAACGAATGGAAAAACGAGATGAGGAATGGAGAATAAAGATACAAGAGAAGGAAAAAGAATGGAAGAAAATAGTTGAAAAACAAGAAAAAGAAAAGGCGAAAATTGAAGAGGAAAAATTGAGAGCAGAAAATGCGAGGCGTTCATTGGAATTGTCTTTAAATGAAGCAGAAGGTATTTTCAATTTCAATTTGTTTTCTAATTTTGTAAAGTATTTAAATATTTTTTAAATTAGAAAAAATTAATAAGATCTATGAAAAACTATTTTTTATTTTCAATTTCGACATTAACTCAAAATTAATTTTTTCTATAGAATACAAAAAGAAATTGTACTCTTTTCAAGAAGATGCTGAACAATTAGAAGGTTTTCAAACTCAAGAAATGGCCAAAATCAAGCACCTTGTAAGTTTTGCATAATTAAAATATTTTCTACTTTTATTTATTAAATTTCAATTTTTATTAAAATTAAATTTATATTTACATAAATTTAATTTAATTTTTCGTTACATTTACAAAATGATCAATTAAATTCTACTAAATTTGTAAATTACAATTTAATTTGCATTTGTGTTATAAATTTTCTCAATTCTCTATAAAGCTTTTAGCCAAAGAACAAGAAGTGGAGGAGAAGTCACACCATTTAAAATTCGCAATGACCGAAGTGGATAATTTAAAAACAGAAGTTTCCCGTCTACGAAGATACGAAGACGAGTTAAATAATGTTCAAGTGAGTATCGCTTGAAAGAGATTAAATTGTTTCGTAACATATTTCGAAGCTTCTTATCACATTGACAATAATGAAAATTTACATATTATGAATATGCAAATAATTCTCTCTATAGTGAAACCCAAAATTGAAGCCAAGAACAGAGACACACAATTTTTTCTGCGTGATTTTTTTTTTTTTTTAATTTTGCACTTTATCACACAAGCATGATCCTTTGAATTTTTGTTTGTATCAATTTTCGCTTTTTTTGAGTGGCTCAATTTAAATTTTTTTTCTATTTGTTTTTTTTCAAAACCCTCTTTTAATTTAATTTGCAATTTCAGTTGGGGATAAGCATAAAAATCTTTCTTTTAAAGATTATTTCTTTATGTTTCTAATTTGCTTAAATCTTCAATTTAAATATTAATTAATATTTTTGATCTTGAAAATTGTTTTTTCATTGAAAGAAATTCGGATCAAAGATATTTTTATGAATTTTTTTTATCAAAATTTTGCATTTTTAATCTAAGGAAATATTTTTTCTGGAATATTAACAATTATTTTAATAATCGGGAAATTCTTCTTAAAGGACTGTTTTTTTGTGGGCATTTTGAGATTTTCGCTTTGTGTTTTGTCCTTATTTCCTGCACTTTCATAAACTACGAATATTTTCGCGATACATGGCAAAAGAAAATATTATCGCATATATTCTTTCGGAAAAGAAAAAGTGTAGGTAATTTTTCTGCCGCTTGGAAAACACGACTACGAAAATAAAATTTTTGTGTTAATTCTAAATGATTCTGTTTACATTATTCGGATATAATGTAAACAGAAATGAAAATTCTAGTAGAAAAAAATTTAAAAAAAGAAAAACAAAATAGAGTGAGAGAAAGGGATCGGAGAGTTGAAAAGTTTGAAGCACAAGATTATTGGAGAACAAAACAAAAATTTGCGGCTATGATCGCAAAATTCTGCTGCTACCGCTGATGCTAGAGGTACGTCTTTCAAGCTTTGATGCACTCTGCTATACATCTATTTCAAATTTTGAGAAATTAAATTCTGGTGATTCTAAAACTTTAAGGTGCTTACGAAATAAAAAATTAAGCGAAGGGAACAAGACAGTAATTTCGCTTGGGAATTTCAAACTTCATTCACATTCATTGCTTTCTTTTTTTTTCATTTAACCACTTTAGCTTTCGACACATTTTTATTGATAAAAACCTTTTGAAATTTTTATTTTCGATTATCGACTTTACAGTCAGTAAATATTTTCATTATTCAAATTTAATATTTTAATTCGAATTAAAGAAATTAAAAGAAAAATATTGAAATAAAATAAAAATTATAGGGAATTGATCCATTGGTCTGTACTTTCGCATCATTTTCATTAATTTCAGAAATATTTTGTCAAAAAATTTGCAATACTGAATAATTTGTTTTCAGGACGAAATGGAAACATTGCGGCATTCAACGCAAAGAGAGAAGGCACAACTTTCGGGTCAATTGGCACAAACCGAGGAAGAAGTTCGTCATTTGAAGGATAAAGTTTTTGTTTTAGAGCAACGCGTGGCCTTAGATTCAAATGATCAATTAACGGTTGATGAACGAATTGCCGACCTAATGAGGGAGAGAACACTTCTCGAGAGAAAATTGGAAGAGACACATTTACATTTGTCCGATATTAAAACAAGTTGGTCGGGAAAAATTTCAAGTCTTGAGACACAAGTCGGCAGATTGAGTAGACAGGCAGGTGAAGAGGGTTTGGAGAGGAGGCGAGTCGAAGAGGAAAAGGAGAAATTGAAGCAAAAAATAAAGCAACTCGAGAGTGAAATTGAGGTGAACAATGTGGTAATGGCGACAAAAGACGCCAAGCTTTTGCGCATGGCCGAGGACATCGACGAGATGGCCACGGAACTGAAAGAGCTCCGGGCCAACGTCGATGATGAGGTCGAAGAATTTAAACAACAAATTGTGAGTTACCCGTGATTCGCAATCGATGATGCATGGGCTAGAACATCTTTTTGGAACAAAAAAAAAGACTGTCTGGCACACTATCAATTGTTCATCCTAGGATTCTTATTCACACTTTTAATACACCAAAAAAATTCTATTTATTTCATTATAAAACAAAATGAATATACGAACGTTAAAAATATTGTTAATTGTTGAATAACTATTATTGTTAGTTATCTTTATAGTCTATTTTCTTTTTGCATTCGGTTCAACTTTCAAAAAAAAGTTCAAATTATTTTTTATTTTGTCGATATTTATTTTAACGTAGAACAAATTATTCATTTTTAGTTACTAAATTAAATTCGAACTAATTCGAGATAAAAAAAAATCTTGAAAGTACATACGTGATAAAATACGAAAGAAAACTACCACTGAGACACGATTTGTCGTTACTGCATGACCAAAAAAAAGAAACAATGCTTGAGGCTTGAAGCACATTTTTTAGTTTTTCGTCTACTTTTTTTTATAAAATATTATAAATGGCACAATTATGAATTTTGCTTTTTCTTTAACAGGGTTGCTACGCAACCTAGAAACCTGGAAAACCTAGAAATGTCAGGGAATTTTATAAACCTTGAAAAAATTTATAGAATAATATAGATTTATAGAATAATTTTTGTTAAAAACACTAAAACAAATTGAATTTTGAAGCAATTACAAATGATTGTATAAATTCAATTATTTTTAGAAATAATTAAATTCTTCTTCGAAATTCAATTATCTAAAATTTTGTAGGTAAAATTCTTTATGAAAATTCAATTTTAAGAAACATTCAATTATTTAATAATTGAATATTAAAAGCATTAGAGCGTGAATTTTGAAAAATAATTGAATTTTGAAAAGATTTTAAATTAAAATCTTTGAAACTCTGAATTTTTCATATTTTTAACTAACACTTCTGTGGAATTAATTTTTTGGGAAAGTTTAATTGCGGATTTTTTTAAAAATTATTTCTAGTTTTTATTTTCTAATAAAAAATAATTAATTGAATAATTTTCAAATAATCAAAATCTCGTATAATTAAATTGTAAACAAATGGATTAAAAAATTCTCAAGGAACATTTGTAAAAATTATTAAAAATAATTGATAATTGACTAATTTTGAATAATTTAAATACAATTTTTGAAAATAATTACATTTCTCGAAGAATTTACTAAAAATTGTATTAAAAACAATTGAAATCCTGTAAAGAATTTTATTATTTAGGAAAATAATTGAATTCTTGCAACGAATTTTTATTACATTTTTTTTAAATTAGTAAAAAAAGGAAACAAAATTAATATTTGGAAAAGTTACAAACTATTGCAGAAATTCAATTATTTCAAGAGTAATAATATTCTTTGCAAAAATTAAATATTGTTCAAAAATAATAAAATTCTTCTTAGGAATTCAATTATTTTGAATACAATTTTAAATACAATTATTCTTAAAAATTTTATTAAAATTTGTCAAGACAATTCAATTATTTAAAAAATTGTTGAAAAAATTCTTTATGAAAATTCAATTTTAAGAAACATTCAATTGTTTAATAAAATATTTATTTTTATAGTTAAATAATTGAATTCTCGTAGAATTTTCTAATAAATATTGATTTAAAAATTAATTTCAAATTAAAATCTTCGAAAATTCGAACTTTTCATACTTTTAATTAAGAATTCTATAGAATTAATTTTTCTCATTAAGTTTAATGGAATTTTTTTTAATTATTTGAAGTTTTTGATTTCTAATATATTTAATTGAAGAATGTCAAAATAATCGAAATTTGGTAAAATTAAATTGTAAACAAAAGAATTTGATAATTCACAATGAATTTTTTCAAAAATTATTTTTAAAAAATTGACTTAAAGAAGAATTTTAGTTGAAAATTCTAGAAATCTATAATCGAAATAATGAAAATAATTTTTGAAAAAGTTACAGTAACAAAGTAGCAAGTTTTATAAAATAATATTTTTTTTTATAAAATAATATTTAATTTATTTATAAAATATTTTATATTTTTTTTCTATAAAAAAAATAATGATTAAAAATTTATTTAAAAATGAAGATATTGATGTTTTCGAATAATTTTTGTTTTAAAAACCTGGAAATGTCAGGGAATTTGAAAAGAGCAAAAAGCGTGGCAACCCTGTTTAATTTCAAGCATGCCGTTGCATTGATTAGTTTTTATATTTTTTATTTCTTGTTCTTATTTTGAACCTAATTTAGGAAGCTTTATTATCATTTTTATCTACAATCGAAGATGTATTTTTCATTAAGAGAAAAAAATAAATAATAAAGTGAATTATCAGAATATGTATTATTTCTTATTGGCTTATTTTTACCTTTTCTTTACAACATTCCTCCCCTTGCTGCTTTTTTATTAATTCGTTTTATTTGTTACGAAATATTTTTTTCTGCTTATTTGTAGAATAATCGTCTCAAATTTTTAACAATTAAGTTTTAACACTTTTGTCGTTTCTTAACGATCTTTCCTTTAACGAAAGATTTGATTTTTTTTAATATTCTATTTTAATTAATTAATTTAATTTATTTTAAATAAATATATTTAATTTACTTTAAATAAATATATTTAATTTATTTTAAATAAATATATTTAATTTATTTTAAATAAATATATTTATTGTTATTATATAATAAATATATCAATAATTGCTAATTATCATGATAAATTTGGAAAAAAGATAAAAACTGAAAATCTTTGTTTATTGTCGACAGGAAGCATCGTCGAAGGAAGTGGAGGGACTCAAATCGCAAATTGAAGAAATGAACGGAAAATTTGAATTGACAAATTCTGAATTATCACATTTGAGATTATCATTGGAAGATGAGAGGACAAATAATTCGTCACTTCATTTAGAAATGGCTCGTCTAAGGGAGAATTTAGAATCTGAGAAGACTTCGTCAGGAACACTTCGTGTGTGTTTAGAAAAGGAGCGGAACGAAAAGGATTCGGCTCTATTGAGAATTGCTCGAATTTCCCAGGAAATGCAACTTGTTCAACAAGACAGTTGTCAACAGGAAACTGAAAATGTCGAACTTCACAGTAAACTTGAGAAATTGGAAAATATTTTAAAAGTCAAGGAAAAAGATATTGAGGATTCATTGAAAAAGCACGAGGAAACAAATAGAAGAATTCAAGAATTAGATGATGCTGAACGATCCAGAGAGAGACTGGAGGGAAATGAGAAGGTGCTGAAAACAAGTCTTTCCGATATGGAGGAACAACTTCAAGAAAAAACCAAGGTATTTATTTAAAAAAAAAGAAAAATTGAAAAACTTGGAAAAAATTAAATTAGTTGGTAATTATTTAATTATTTCGAAAATTAATTTTGAAATCTTCTTTTCCAGACAATTAAAGTTTTGCAACAACGATTGGCTGATATGAAAAAAACTCTTCAACGGGAATTAAGAGTGCCATCATCGTCATTAGACAGTGATGTTGAGTCATCAGTGGCTGTATTGAGTCCCAGTTCATCGAAAACAGTCACCTCGAAGCAAACTAATTCCAGGGAAGACGATATCAACTTCAAATATCTGAAACACGTTCTTATTAAGTTTCTAACCAGCAGAGAATACGAAGTAAATTATTTTTCAATTTTAAATCAAAATAATTCATTCCAATTTCAAAAAAAAAAAATTAATTTGAAAAATTAAAATTTTTTTAGGCTCTCCACTTAACAAGAGCGGTGGCGACACTTCTTCATTTTTCCCCCGAGGAAGAAAGACTATTGCAAGAAACTTTAGAATGGAAAATGTCTTGGTTCGGAACAAGGCCAAATTTGGGTTTCGGACAAACAGCAAAAGCCATTCCACCAAGTTGATAAGAAAAGTAATAAACTTTTTAGATAGTGAAAATTTTTCCAAAACGATAGTTCGAGAGTGAGTCTTACAAATACCAAAGTAAATTTACTTGAATTTAGAATCTCCAAAAAAAGACAGAAAAAAAATTGGAAAACTTTACTCTAATAAATAGAAAATATTGTCTGAATATTAGCATTTTTATGCTTTTCTATAAAAAGGGAAAATATTGTATAAGATACTAGAATTTTTCATACTTTTCAAAGTTCGTTAAATTTCAATTTTACGATAATTTTCAAATAAAAGAATTTTTCCAAAACCCAATTTTTAAATTTGTATAACGTAAAAAGCACAAAGAGTAAAGTGCTATTTGTTGTATATCTATTTTCAATGTAATTATTAAGACTTAAAAAAAGTAATTGAGGGAACTAATTAACTTAAATGAACGTTAATATATTTATAAAATGGAATAGTGTAAAAGAAATAATTGTATTGCAATTCTTTTTTAAATGTCTCTTGTCAACGAGTTTTTAATTTTCCGAACAAAAATAAGTTATTTTGTGTTAATTATTATAAATGTAGATGGAATTATGTGATATTGATTATATTGCCAGTCTCTGTGTAGAATTGAATTTTAGGGCTCATTAATATAAGACTCGCAAATCTCAAAAACAAAATAAGTATTAAGTCGCGCTAGTACAATTAGATTTAATAAAAATTAATTAGTGCATTATGGTATCAGACACGTTCTGCCATTTATATCAAAAACTCCAGTAGAAAACTGATAGAGAATGACAGTGAATTGAAAATAGGGAGACACGTTGATCGTGTCTTTTTTGAAAAAAGGTATAAAATTGTGCCTAATCCAAAAAACGTCATACTGCGTAATAATTATAATAATTAAATTAATCAATTCTCAAATTGTATATTATCGATTATTAAAAATACTCTTAACTTATTTAATTGTTCTTTTTATACTGTCATCATCTTTTGTTCTTTTCCTTATGAATAAGAATTAAAAACTTAAACTACAAATTAAATTTTTCATGACTATATTAATTAAAGATGACCGAGTGATAAAATCATTATCAATTACATTTTTCGGGAAATTCGATTAAAATTGTATTAAAAATAATTTAATCCCTAAGAAGAATTTTATTATTTTTGAACAATATTTAATTTTTGCGAAAAATATTATTACTTTTTAAAATAATAGAATTTCTACAATAATTTGTAACTTTTCCAAAATTAAATTTTTTTTTCGTGTTTATTAACTAAAATTCTTCTACATAAACATTATTATTAATAATTTTTGAAAAAGTTATACAAGAATTTTCAAATTCATTTGTTTACTATTCAATTTTACAAAATTTCAATTATTCGTCAATTCTTTAATTAAATATATATGTATTAGAAAATAAAAACTTGAAATAATTTCAAAAAAAATCTCTAATTAAACTTTTTCAAAAAAATTAATTCCACAGAATTATTGTTAGTTAAAAATATAAAAAATTAGATTTTCAAAGATTTTAATTTGAAACCCTTTCAAAATTCAATTATTTCTAAAAATTCACGCTTTAATGCTTTTAATATTCAATTATAATCTAAAATTTTAACTGAAATCCATTTTTAAATCAATTTTTAGTCCAAAATTCTACTGTAGAATTCAATTATTTAAATATCAATAACAATTTAATGAATAATTGCAAGTTTCTAAAAATTGAATTCTCATAAAGAATTTTAACAATAAATTTTTTAATAATTGAATTCTTTTGACGAATTTTAATAAAATTTTTAAGAACGTTTCTCGAGGAATTCGATTAAAATTGTATTAAAAATAATTGAAATTCTTCAATGACTTTTATTATTTATAAACATAATGAGATTCCTAAAAAGAATTTTATTATTTACGAAAATAATTGAATCTCTGTAAAAAATTTTATTATTTATGAAAATAATTGAATTATTGCGAAGAAATTTATAAAAAATTTGTAAATAATTGAATTCCTGTGAAATTTTTATTATTTTATGAAAATAATTAAAGGTTTGCGTAGAATTTTATAAAAAATTTCTAAATAATTGAATTCCTGTGAAATTTTTATTATTTTATGAAAATAATTAAAGGTTTGCGTAGAATTTTATAAAAAAAATTTTAAATAATTGAATTCTTTTGGAAAATAATTGAATTTCTGCAATCATTTGTAATTTCTCTAAAATTTTCCGAATTATATAGTACAATTTACGAACTTTTCGTCTTTTCTCAATTAAAATACGGACTTTACGGTCCTTTTTTCAAAAAATAGATTAACTAAGACAACCTTTTTTTATTTTGAATTTTTTTAGGAATTGTTAATAACAACATTCAATTTTAATATTAATTATTAACTATTATTGGGATTGCGAACATTACAGGGAATTGACCTTTTGCAAAATAAGGCATTAGTGGTAAATTAGTAGATAAATTAGATACTAAATAAACATTTTCCAAAAAGCGAATTATTAGTTATAATAATAATAATAATAATAATAATAATAATAATAATAATAATAAACATAAAAATAATAATTATTATTATTATTAATAATTCATTATTGACAATTATAATTTAATAATAATGTCATAATATTTATTATTATTATTTTTTCTATTCTTATTAGTAGAAAGCTTCAATTATTCGGTTTAAAGTTTCCACATTCATTTATCATTATGTATTAAATGCCCTATAAATAAATTGCATGTTTCTTTTTTATTTTTTCTGTATAATTTCACTACATCAGTTTCAAAAAAAATTCACGCTATTTAGTATTAGCGAATTTTTTTACACGTTTTTTAGCTTTCCTTTTAGAATTTTTCTCATATACTTTCCTATTCAAAATTCGCAATCTTATGTGCGTTCGTGTACGTACCAGACACAATAATACCTTTATATCTAATTTATCCAGTGAATGTTGCTTGGAATCTTGAAAATCAAATTACTATTTATTGCAATATTTATTATTATTATTAATAACTTTATATTTATTAATATTAATACTAATTAAAAATAATAATTATTATTAAAAATAAAATAACATTCATAATAATTTATTAATATTAATTACCATTTATTGTAATATTTATTATTATTATTATCAATAATTTTATACGTATTAATATTAATAATAACAATTAATAATATTTATTATTAAAAATAAAAATATATTAATAACAATAACAATCTTATTTTCTGGATTTGAAACACATTTAAAAATACGCGGCTAGACTTTCAATATGGTCGTCACTTCGTCCGCATTCTGATTGGTGCTTGGTTCCACGTTTTTTTTGCCTGCGCGTGGCGAGACCTTGTTACTTGGATCATGGGTCAGAGTGAGTTTCGTTTTTGGATGAACCGGATGAATATTTACGTTTGATTTTCAAAGAACGGTAAGAACTTTATTACAATTTTTAATCCCGTGTATTTATGTGTAAACTACTTTCATTTAAATACGTAAATAATTTTCGATAATATATTTATAAACAAATTATTACACTGTAAAAAAGGATTTTTTGAGAATTTACTAATGAAATTGTAAGGTTACAAGGATTCTGTAAATTGACAACGTTAGACGTAGTTTGAAAGCAAACCATGTTTAATAATGCGACGTCTAACGTTGCATTTTTACAAAAAATTTGTAAGGTTACAACGTTGGACGTAGGACATATTTCGAGTCACGTCAGACGTTGTTTTCTTACAACGTCTGACGTGACTCGAAATATGTCCTACGTTCAACGTTATAACCTTACAAATTTTTTGTAAAATTGCAACGTTAGACGTCGCATTATTAAACATGGTTTGCTTTCAAACTACGTCTAACGTTGTCAATTTACAGAATCCTTGTAACCTTACAATTTCATTAGTAAATTCTCAAAAAATCCTTTTTTACAGTGTATATTCATTTATCAGTAGAAAAGAAAAAGATAACCTCAAATATTTTATCTTTTCAACAAAAAAAAAAAAAAATATATTTTGTATTTGATATTTCAGAATATTTGCAAAGTTGAATTGAAACATCGGTGGATCCAGAAAAAAAGTCGGTGAGAATATGAATATTAAATCTATAATCCGCACATCTCTGATATTTATAAACACAAACATTGGAATCAGAAGTTTTGCAACAGGTTTCTATTGAATTCGATATAAATTTGATCTCCTTTTTCCTTTAAATAAAAACAGAGACATTTTTCTATTGTGTAATAGTGATTTCCTGTTTAACATATTAATGTTAATTTAAAAATAAAGACACAACCGCTGACAATATTCCACGCATGCGTTTTTAAGTTTGTAGTTTGTAGTTTAATTTTTAATTTGTTATTGCTCTAACTCAAGAAAGTCTATTAATAATTAATTTACATGGACTTACTTCAAATTCTTGTTGTCATAATAAAGCTAATTTATAATCAATTCGTTGTTAAAGAAATACTTTTACTGTTCTTTTATTTGTAATTTTATTTTTAATTTTTTATTTAGAAAAACTGGGAGTACCGTTAATTAGTTAACTCAATTTTTTTTTCAATTTTATTCAAATTTTCTTGATTTTTCCAAAAATTTCTTTTTAGTTTCAGGATTATCAATTTTGCTCTGGTACTATTTTGGTGAGTTTATACAAATGTACGGTACTCCTGGTGATATTTATTTAATTTTAAAAAAAGAATGTTAAATTAATAAATTTTTTTCCTAGCAACAATGAGTGGGAATGATGATTTTAAAAGTGCAACATCAATTTACGATTTCACGGCAAAATCAATAAAAGGGGAGGATGTTCCTTTATCAAAGTGAGTATTTTGTTTTTTTTTTCTAATTTTTTCAAAAGTTACATCAATTTTATAAGAGGATTGTTTTTAGCTATAAAGGACACGTTTGTATTATTGTCAACGTGGCTTCCAAATGTGGACTGACAAAAACAAATTACAAAGAACTTAATGAGCTTTATGATAAATATGCAGAATCCAATGGTAATTAAAAAATTAATAACTAAGAATTAATTTTCTAATATTTTTGAATTTCTTTAGAGAATTTTATAATTGAAAATAATTTATAATTTTGGTAATATTTCAGGATTGCGTATACTCGCTTTCCCTTGCAATCAATTCAATGGTCAGGAACCAGGTACTTCTGATGATATTTGCAGTTTTGCTAATCGAGAAAAGGTAATTATGAAAAAAATTTCCATACATTTTCAAAAAGATAATTAAAATTCAGAAAATTTATATTTTTAAATTTATTCAATTATTATCAAAACAATTTCAATTAAATTCCTCGGCAGAATTCAATTTTAAAAAAAAATTTTAACACAATTCGAAAAAATTTAATTTTTTTCTAAAATTTTAATAAATGCTTTAAAATAATTCAATTATATATATATATATATATATATATATATATATATATATATATATATATATATATATATATATAAATAGTAAAATTCTTCGCAAGAATTCAATTAACTTTATAAATAGTAAAATTCTTTGCAGGAATTCAATTATTTTCAAAACAATTTTAATTGAATTCCTCGGATGAATTCAAATATTTTTAAATAAAATAAATTTCAATTATTTCCTAAAATTTTAATAAATTCTTCGAAACAATTCAACTAATTTTTATGATTTACGAATTTTCACGAAGAATTTTATCAACAACTTTCGAAAATAATTAATTTCTTTTAAGGAATTTAATTAAAATTTAACTGAAATTTCTTATATTAAAGAATTTTATAACAATTTTTGAAAATAATTGAAAACTTTTTGAAGAATTTTATTAAAATTTTTAAAAATAATTGAATTCCTGAGATAAATTTTGATATTTCATGAAAATAATTGAATTTTGAAAAAGAATTTTATTAAAATTCCTTAAAATAATTGATTTTAAGGGGAGAATTTTATTCTTTAACAAGATAATTGAATTCTTTTGCAGAACGAACTTATTATTTTATTGAATAATTGAATGTTTCTTAAATTTGAATTCTTTCGTCAAGTTTTAATAAAAATTTTAAGAATAATTACATTTTTGGAGAAATTTATTTAAAATTTTATTAAAACTATTTAAAATTCTGCCGTGAAAGTAATTGAATTCCTAAATGAAATTTTATTATTTATGAAAATAATTAAATATTTTCGTAGAATTTTATCAAAAATTGTTTTCAATAATTGCATTTTTCAATAAATTTTATGAAAATTTTTAAAAATGTAAGAAATTAGGACAAGAATTTTTTTAATAAAATACAAGAATTTGTATTTTAATAATTTACATTATTAAATACAAGAATTTTTTCGACATTTATTAAAATAATTGAACTTTGGAGAAGAATTTTGTTATTTATAAAGATAATTGGGATTTTTACGAAATTTTTTTTTCAAATTTTGTACATAGTTGAATTTTAATAAAAAGAATTTTATTTTTTTTGAAAATAATTGAATTTTTGCAATTATTTGAAATTTCTCCAATATTGAATTTTTTTAGTGTTTTTAACAAAAATTTAAATTAGTAAATTTTCAAAGTCTATTATTTTTAAAATTGCTAAAAATTAATTAATTTAAATGTATTCAATTAATTAATTAAAATGCATTTAATTAATTGAATGAAATCAATTAATTAAAATTGTAATTAATTAATTTAAATATAAACAATAAATATTCAATTAATTGTGTTGAATAATTTACAGGTAAAATTCGATTTATTCGACAAAATCGATGTCAATGGAGATAATACTCATCCATTGTGGAAATATCTAAAAAAGGAACAAGGAGGAACTTTAGGCAGTTTCATCAAATGGAATTTCACAAAGTTCATTGTGAATAAAGAAGGAAAAGTTGTCGAGAGACACGGACCTAACGTGGATCCAAATAGTATGGATTCAAATCTCCAAAAATATTTCAATATGTAAAATTCATTAATTTTTACAAAATGCACAAAATTCAACACCAAATTGAATATTAAAAGTGTTTTATAAAAATTAATTAATTATTAATATGTTGCACATTTAAAATTGTATTCTATACAATTATTGCATTATAGAGACGTAGAAATCAAAGTTTATTAAGATTTATAATCACGTTTGCGAGTTATTTTTTATAATATAAATCTCTTTATAGTTATTATAAATTATAATTTATAGATTTCCATGCAAGAGAAGAAAGCATAAAACTCTTCATAAATTTCATAATGTACGCTATGTAAACCAATAAAAATTAAATAATTATCGATGCGAATTATTCTTAAATAATAAAATTTTGGTAGAAATGAAAAATATCGTTTATAATTTAAAGACTCACCTAATTTTTATGTTTAGAAAATAATTTTGCCTTTCTAACCTCAAAATTAATTCCAATTGTATAGAAAGATTCCAAAGATATTTATGATATTTATCCAACTGTTTAGATTCATTTCGGTTTGTTCAATAGTTTCGATGACAAAGAATCCTGGAATTATTTACAGTTGATGATAATTTTAATTTAGTTTCCGTGATTGATTCGTTGACATATACGTTTTATTAATCTAATTGATCAGATATATTCCTTATATTTTCGGTTGTACTTTATAACTGTTTACAACAAAATTTCAGTTTGTTCAATAGTTTCGATGACAAAGAATCCTGGATTTACACTTGTTGATAATTTTAATTTAGTTTCCGTGCGGTTGATATAAATGTTTTAATTAAATTGTTGCAGATATTCTTTATATTTCACGTTATACTGTCTTTATAACGGTTTTTAACGAATTTAAGCGTTTCCGGAAATAAACATAAACAAGGAAACTTACACTGCCCTCTAGTGACTAATTTCAGAGATTAACTTCCGCTTCCGCTTGGAATTTCTGTATTAAATAAATTGATTTCTCTTTTACTTTAATTAAAATTTTTCTCTTATTTAAAATTATAATAAATTAAAAAAAATATTATTTTCTTATTTAAAAATAATTAAATATTAATTATTAATATATTTAATTATATTTTTTAGAAAAAATTACTTAATATGTTTGAATTTGCCGCCTTTTGAATGGACAAGTTTCCATTAACATCCGCGAGTGGCGCTGCTACGGATTCATTCCGCTCCTCGTCTGTCAGCAAAGATGGATGCTACTTGTGTTTACAACATTAAAAAAGGTAAGAAATTCAATAAAATCAATACAAATTTCACTCCCAAACTATTCATATACAATAATTAATGTATTCCGGGCCGAAATATAGTATAATTTAATGAGTACAAGCTCTTTTCTTTACTTAAAATTGTAGTTTCAATGAGCTCCAAAAAAAGGTAGGTTAGAATCTACTGTCGCAAAAATCTTTCCAAAATATCAGTTTTCATTAAAAATTATCAGTATTTTATAGAAATTCGTCATATTTAGTTGATATATTATTGTTTTCTTAATACCAATAGAAGAAATGAGGTATTTTTGTAATTATCATTTTTTCAACATTCATCCCCTCCCTTTTGCCCAAAGCCGCCATTTTCTTTACATTCCCCTCGGATTTCGTGAGTAACGTGTCGATCGGCCGTCAATTTAGTTAAAAGTTCTTAAAATTAAATCAATAAATGTCAAGTTTATTAAAGTTTTTCTCGCTTTTGGTAAAATTCTTCATCAGTAAAAGGAGGTAAGAGTAATTTCCCCCGAATTCTTTCATTACTGATCGCTTTCGCGGATTTCATTGTCGAGGGTCAATTCAACAATCAATACTTGTGGAAATAATTCGAAGCAAATTTGTTCGGTCAAAATAATTATATTTCAGGACAAAGTTTTTTGTTTATTTAAAAGTGGAACTTTGATTAAATAATTTGATTTATTGAAAAGAAAGTATTTTTTTTTAATTTAGTTTACAATTTTCTATGGTTTATCTATTTTCTAGCAGTTGGCACCACTTTTTCCCCCACTTTCCTTTTGCCGCCATTTTCTTTACATTCCTCTCGGATTTCGTCAGTAACGTGTCGATCCTCCGTCAATATTGTTAAAAGTTCTTAAAATTAAATCAATAATTGTCAAGTTTATAAAAGTTTTTCTCGTTTTTGGTAAAATTCTTCTTCAGTATGAAGGTAAGAGTAATTTTTCCCCGAATTCTTTCATTATTGATCGCTTTCGCTGATTTCATTGTCGAGAGTCAATTCAACAATCAATACTTGTGGAAATATAATTCGAAGGAAATTTGTTCGGCCAAAATAATTATATTTCAGGACAAAGTTTTTTGTTTATTTAAAAGTGAAACTTTGATTAAATAATTTGATTTATTGAAAAGAAAGTATATTTTTTCTTTGAATTTAGTTAACAATTTTTTATGGTTTATCTATTTGCTGGCAGTTGGCGCAACTTTTCCCCCCACTTCCCTTTCGCCGCCATTTTCTTCACATTTCCCGCCGATTTCATGAAGGGCGTGTCGTTCTTCCGTTAACTTTAATAAAAATTCACAATATTAATTAAATAATTATCAATTTATCCAAATTTTTCTTGATTTTGGTTAAAATAATTGTGTTAGTGACAAAGGTAAGATTATTTCTTCCCTGAATTCTCTAATTATTGATTTTTCTCATTTTTTTTTCTCTGATCTCATTGGTAGAGTGTCAATTTTGTAATCAATATTTGTAAAATTAATTCAAAGTAAATTTTTTTATGCAAAATAATATTCTGTATTAAAAATTTGTTTTATTTAAAAAAAAGTGTAATTTTGGTTTAATACAGTTTTAACTTTGAGAATAAAGGAAAAGTTTCTGTTCTTCCTAGAATTTACTTGATTTTTTTATTGTTTACTTAGGTTTCTGATTTGTCTACAGAAGCTGCTATTTAATTTTTATTATTATAAAAAATATTATTTAGTTGATGTTTTTATTTTTTTAATCTAATTTTATTTTTAGTTTTTAATTTTAATTTAATTTTTTTCTAATTTTATTCTTGGTTTTTAATTTTAATTTAATTTTTTATTGTAAGTTTTTTTTAAACTTTGTTATATTTTCTTGATTGTTTTCAGCTTCAATGAGACGTAACAAAGGGATTTTAATAAAATTTTACTTGGTAGAATTTTGTCTTATTTTCAGATTCTACGTTTTTTTTAGGCAAATCGTACTATGAATATTATTGAATAAATAATTCAATGAATAAATGCTTTTTATTTCAAATATAATTTATAATCAAATTTTTTTTTTGGGAAGAAATTACTTAATTTCAGAATAAATATTTTTATAAATTTTGTTTTGAATTTTATGATTAATATTTTTGGAATATATTTTCAGCTTCAAAGGATTTTGTTTGGAAGAAGTCGTTGGTAGAAGTAACCGTCGAATAAATGTGTGTGTGAAAAAAAGAAAAATTTCCAACGTCATTCAAAAGTCATTCCAATGAAAGAGTGGAAATTAAATTTAAAGTGTGAGTGTTAATTTTTTTTCTTTTAAAAAAATTTTTTACAGTGATTTTGATGATGAATAATAATCATAAATAATTTTCAGTTTACAAAACTGATAGTAAATTTTTTAATTTTTTGTTTTGAGAAAATTTTTGAAATATTTCCATATTTTTCTAAACAAAATTAATATGTCAGATAATTTTTTGCTTAGGAATTTTAAAAGCGGATTTTTTAATTTAAAAAATATTTTTAATATTTCGTTTTGAGAATATTTTTGAAATATTTGTTTATTTTTCTAAACAAAATTAATAAGACAGATAATTCTCTGTTTAGCAAATTTAAAAGGAAAAATTTAGAACAAAATTAATATGACAGATAATTTTCTGTTTAGAAAACTTGAAAACAAATTTTTTAAATTGAAAAAATTTTTAAATTTATTCTTTTGAGAGAATTTTTGAATATTTGCATATTTTTCTAAACAAAATTAATAAGACAGATAATTTTCTGCTTAGGAATTTTGAAAGCGGATTTTTCTAGTTTAAAAACTATGTTTAATTTTTCGTTTTGAGAATATTTTTGAAATATTTGCAAATTCAAGGTTGCCACAGATCAGGGAAAGTAGAATTTTTAGGAATTTAAAAAAATTCTTTGCAAAATTCAATTATTTTTATAAATAACAATATTCATCACAAGAATTCAATTATTTTCAAAAGTAATAAAATCCTTCGAAGAAATTCAATTATTTCTATAAATTGTAACGAATACCTCGTCAAGAATTCAATTATCTTTATAAATAGCAAAATTTTTTGCCAAAAAAATCAATTATTTTCAAAAATTTAAATAAAATTCTTTGCAAAATTTCAATTATTTCCAAAAGTTTTTCATAATTCAATGATTTTCAATATTTACTATTTTCAAAAAATTTAATTATTGAAAAAAATTTTTGATATAATTCTACGAAAATATTCAATTATTTTCATAAATAATAAAATTTTATTTTGGAATTCAATTATTTTCACGGCAGAATTTTAAATATTTTAAATAAATTCCTTGAAAAATGCAATTATTCTTAAAAATTTTATTAAAACTTAACGAAAGAATTTAAATTTAAGAAACATTCAATTATTAAATAAAATAATAAGTTTGTTCTGCAAAAGAAATTAATTATCTTGTTAAACAACAAAATTCTCCCCATAACATCAATTATTTTAAGGAATTTTAATAAAATTCTTTTCCAAAATTCAATTATTTTTATAAAATATCAAAATTTATCACAAGTATTCAATTCTTTTGAAAAGTAATAAAATACTGCAGAAATTAAATTATTTTCAAAAGTTTTTTAAAATTCTCGTCTATAATTAAATTATCTTTGTAAATAGGTAGAGAAATTCTTCTCAAGAATTAAATTACTGTCAAAAATTTTAATAAACTTCTTGTCAAAATTTCAATTATTTAAAGAAACTTTAATAAAATTCATCGCATGAATTCAATTATTTTCATAAATTATTATTTAAATTTTTCTCAGGAATTCCAATTATTTTTAAAAATTTTAATAAAATTCTTCAAAAAGTTTTCAATTAGGTATTTTCAAAAATTGTTATAAAATTCTTTAATATAATAAATTTCAGTAAAATTTTAATTAAATTCCTTAAAAGAAATTAATTATTTTCAAAAGTTGTTAATAAAATTCTTCGTAAAATTCGTAATTCGTAAAAATTTTCAATAAACATTCAATTATTGAATAAATTATTTATTTTTGTGTTTAAATAATTGAATTCTCGTAAAATTTTCTTATAAATAGTGAAAACAAATTGAAAACATTTTTAAATTTATTCTTTTGAGAAAATATTTTGGAATATTTACATATTTTTCTAAATAAAATTCATAGGATAGATAATTTTCTGTTTAGGAAATTTGAAAGCAAAATTTCAAATTTGTAAACATATTTTTTCTTTTGAAAAAAACTTTTGACTATTTGCATATTTTGTTTTGAAAAAATTTAATAAGACGAATAATTTTCTTGAAATTAATGCCATTTATTGAGTGATCAAACTGTCATATTTACATCCAACGAAATGATTAACAAAACATTCATACGGTACATACGCAATTCAATCTTACATTTATTTCATGTGTATACTTGCTCGCCCGTATTCAAGCTTTTTTTTGTATATATATATATTTTTTTTCTCATTTAAAAATGTTTAGGACGATTTTTGAAGTTTTCACGCTTTTTCGACAAATTATAAATTTTTAACTATTCTTAGCAAGGCACACGACACGATATTGTTATTTCTTTTTCCATTATTGACAAATTAAGTTTTGTTGGAAGTCGACTTGTCAGCAGCAGGTTTATTTAAAATTTAATAACAGCACCAAGTACTAATACAAATTTATTTAATTTGATTGTTCACTTTTTGCTGAGCATTTTTTTTTCAAGTCATAATAACAAAATGTTCGAGTCATGTTTTTTTTCATTTTCGCAACTATATAGGAGTTTCAAAAAATTAATAATATTTAAAGTTTTTATCGTCTTTATCACTAATTAAATAAATTATTTTGAGAAAAGGTTTGAAACGTTGACTTTCATATTTTTAAAAATTTGTTTGCTTTAATTTAATAGGTTAATTTCAATAAGGTTTCTTTAAATTTAATCTAGACGGAACATTGTAATTTTAAATTGGGGTTTCATCTCTTGTGCTTGCAAAAAAATTATTCGAAAAATTAGCCATTAATGTAGCTAATAAAAAACGAATATAAAAGGGCCGATTTAGCAGCACACATACAAGGGTATATAATTGAGCTTTATTTTAGAAATTATTTTTTTCTAATAGGGAAATTTTCTTTTCTTCAATAAGTACTTCTGAAATTTAATTGCTTTATAGAAATTTTAGAATCGAGAAGTGTGCTTTTAGTAAATGCATTTTAAATATTGAAAAATATCACAAAAAAAATACAGGCCTCGGATATATTAAGTTTTCGACTATTTTCGAATGATGCGACTTTTTCGACTTTTTTTTCTAAATTTTGCAACAAAATACCACATTTTTAGTATAAAATGCAACTAATTTTGATTTTTATAGTGTGAAAAATATAACTATAGACAAATTTTTGAAAAATTATTTTTGAATATAATTTTTCTATAATTAAATTTTCGAAAAATACAATTAAAAATATTTTGAATAATTGAAACATTGTAAAATTTAATTGAAAATAAATCATTTTTTCAAGTATTTTATTGCAATTTTTGAAAATTAACTTTTAAAGAACTTTAATTGAAAATTTTGGAAATAATTGAATTCTCAAAAAATTTTAATAAAAAATCTTCAATATTGTAAATTTAATAAATATGAATATTAATGAAAATTAGATTATAAAAATAATATTAAAATATTTTTCGAATAAAATAATTCTCAGAATTTTTTCATTCTAATTTTTTAAAATTCGCAATTATTTTCAATATTTTCGATTACATATTTCCAAAAATTCAAATACATAAAAAAATTAATAATATTTTCGAATTATTTTTATTATTTTGGAGAAAAAAGTCGTGTTCAAAATTTTTCAAAATAATTATTACTTTTTTTTTAAATTATATAAAAATTCTTTTTAGAAATTCAATTATTTTCGAAAAATTACATTATTTTGGAGAAAAAAGTCGTGTTCAAAATTTTTCAAAATAATTATTACTTTTTTTTTAAATTATATAAAAATTCTTTTTAGAAATTCAATTATTTTCGAAAAATTACATTACAATATTTATAAGTTTAATTAAAATTCTTCAAAAATTTGATTTTTTAAAAATTCGATTTTAATTGTTTTGCAAAGATTTTACCAAATTTCAATTATTTTTAAAAAGATTTTACCATATTTCAATTTTTTAATTGTATCTAATTGTAAAAATATTGTCTTTCAAAAATTATTTAGAAATATTTTTAAAAAATTTCAAAAATTTCTTTATTAAAATTTTTGAAAATATCCTACCTTAATATCTTTAAAAAGAAAAATGAGCAGTTTTATTTATTATAAAAATTTGAATTTTTTTATTTAAATAATTGAATTCTCGAAAAATTGTCGAAAAATTATTAAAGATTTAATTTAATTATTAAAAAATTAATATAGATAATTGATTTAGAAATGAATTTTAGTTTAAAAATTGTAGAAAATAATTGAATTTTGGAAATACAAAATACAATTTTTTGTGACAATAATGAATTAGATAAACGACTTTTTCGATTTTCTTTTCTATTTTTACTTTTTTGGCTCGTTAAAGTCGATCCGAGGCCTGAAAATATATTAAAAATTTCACAGACTTCTGTATTACTAGCTTCGTAGGTTTGAAAACAAATACTTCTACAGAAAATAAATTTTTGATTTTTCATTACTTGGAAATGCAATTCCATAATTGATTTAAAAACTTTTAAGCGTATGTTTAATTTTTGGCAATTTTTAATTCAAGAAAATTATTAAAATTCTTTTCTAATGAATAAATTAGAATAAAGGAAATTTTTTTCAAGTTTTGAACATTTAAAGAAAGGACATTTTTTTCTGTTTTTTTTTTTAAATACGAAAAATAATTTAAATTAATAAAATTACTTAGGAATTAATTTCTACTATACAAAATAATTTTTTTTTGTACAAAAGAAATACAGATAGAATGAATTGAAAAAAGTAAAAAAAAAAAAAATGTCGTTCATTTAAACGTTCGAAACTCTAGGATCGTAAATTTCTACTTTTCACAACGAAATCGATATGAGAATGAATTTAAAAATAAATAACACTTAAAAACGATTTTTATAAAATAGAAAAACAGTTTAAGGCATTTCACCTGCGAAAGTTTGTAACGAATTACTAATATTTGGAAAATTTTTAAAAATAGTATAATCGAATTGAAAAAATGTTTTCTTATTAAAAATTTTGTTTAAAAATTTTGTTAAACAAATTCTTTTTTGTACACATAAGACTTGCAGATGAATTATCTTAAATCACAAATTCATGAAATTCATATAATATTAATAATGAATTCTAGAAAAATGTCAAGAATTGACAATTTTGCTCTAGATTTCAAGACTATTTTTTTATATATTTCTCGAAAGACGTGTAAAGAAGCATTGTGCTTAGAAATTTCTATAATTGCATACAAGTTCTTCGATTATTTAATAATCTATAAATATACTAAATGCTCGCTTAGAAAAGTACTTTACAAAGACTCATTGCACAAGAGACGATGATCTTACATGTATATATTATAAAAAAAATGTATAGGATATATTATATCCAAACTTCTAAATTTTTATCATTTCCCTTTTTTTTCTATAAACATATTCTGGTCTTTGGAAAGACCCAAAATGTGTATATAATCCTATTATTACTCATTATGAAAATGTTCATTTTGAAGAAAATATTATTTCATCGTTTAGTGATCTCTGTTTTTGCCCTATATTTTTCCTTATTTTTGTAGAAGGAATTCTCTCAAATTTTCTTCTTAGTCTTAATTTTCTACAATTTCGCTGCTCCCGTTATGATTTTTTCATAGAGTTCTGGTGTTACCTCAACGTATTCCTTATTACCGTCACGGAAATAAACTTTATCTTGAATCTTGTTGGGATCGAAACCTTCTTTTTGGAGGGTAATTTTCTTTAATTTGAAAGTGCTGGTCATTTCAAGTTCCTTCACGATTCGCAAGAAAATTGGTCTTGCGTAGGAAGGTAGAGCTTTATCTAGACCTTCAGCGAGAGCTTTAAAGTCCAAAAGGCAATCGGGGTCGACAATTGCTGCCATTCCGGCTCGACCTTCAATTCCTGGTACCTAAAAGCAAAAAAAAAAATCGAATTTAAACTTTAAAGTTTATTTTATATTTATTTAATTGAAACAATTAGTTCTTTTAAATTATTTCTTTGTTTCTATATTTTGGAAAATATTGACAAACCTGAACACCATAAACTGTTGTGTCTCGGTGTCCGGCTACGTTGCTGACGACACCTTCAACTTCCGCCGTTGCAACGTTTTCTCCTTTCCATTTAAACGTATCTCCTGTTCTGTCTTTGAAGTAGAAATAGCCTAATTCATCTTGAACCAAGATATCGCCTGAAAAAAATTATATTTTAGATATTATTATTATTTGCAAGGCTCGAACTAGGTCTGTAAATCCCGTAAATGTCTGTAAAAGTCAGTTTTTTTGAAAAAAGGTCCGCAAAGTCTGTAATTTGATTGAAAAAAAAAATAAAAAATAAAAATTAAATTCTTCCCAGAAATTCAATTATTTTCAAAAAATTTTTTAAATTCTCGTCAAAATTTCAATTATATCTTTAGAAATAATTTAATTTTTCTCCAAAATTCAATTATTTTCAAAAATTTTCCTCAATTCAATGATTTTTAATATCCACTATTTTCCAAAAGAATTCAATTATTTAAAAAAAATTTAATAAAATTCTACGCAAACCTTTCATTATTTTAGTAAAATAATAATAATAAATTATTAAATTTTCGTAAAATAATAAAAATTTTACAGGAATTCAATTATTTACAAATATTTTATAAATTTCTACGCAATAATCATTCAATTATTTTTATAAATAATAAAATTTTTTGCAGAATTTTAATTATTTTTAATAAGATTTTAATCGAATTCCTCGAAAAACGTAATTATTCTTAAAAATTTTATTAAAATTCGTCGAAAGAATTCAATTATTTCCATAAATAGCAAAATTCTTCAGATTTACTAAATTCTTTTGAATATTATTTTTAAAAAAAATTCTTTACAAGAATTCAATTATTTTTATAAAGTTCCATAAAATTTTAATTTAATAAATAATAATAATAATAATATTTAATAATAATTTTTTTAAAAATAATTCAATTAAAAATGTTTAAAATTGTTTTTAAATTCTCAAAATTTTAATTATCTTTATAAATAATTAAATTGTTCTCCACAATTCAATTATTTTCAAAAATTTTAATAAAATTCTACGTAAACCTTTAATTGTTTTCATAAAATAATAAAAATTTTACAGGTGTTTAATTATTTACAAATTCTTTACATATTTCTTCGCAATCATTCAATTATTTTCATAAATAATTAAATTTTTTCAGGGATTCAATTATTTTCGTAAATAAATAAATAAAAATTTTTAGGAAATCAATTATTTTCATAAATAATAAAATTTTTTGCAGAATTTTAATTATTTTTAATAAAATTTTAATCGAATTCCTCGAAAAACGTAATTATTCTTAAAAAATTTATTAAAATTCTACTATTCAATTATTTTTCAAAGTAATAAAATTCTTCACAGATATTCAATTATGTTCAACAATTTTTAAAAATTTTCGTCAAAATTTTTAATTATCTTTACAAATAATTGAATTTTTCTCCAAAATTCAATTATTTTAAAAAATTTTAATAAAATCCTTGGCAAAATTTCAATTATTTTTAAAAATTTTCCTCAGTTGAATGATTTTTAATATCTACTATTTTCCAAAAGAATTCAATTATTTAAAAAAAATTTAATAAAATTCTACGCAAACCTTTCATTATTTTCAGAAAATAATAAAAATTTCACAGCAATTCAATTATTTTCGTAAATAATAAAATTCTTTTTAGGAATTCAATTATTTTCATAAATAATAAAACTCATTGCAGAATTTCAATTATTTTTAATACAATTTTAATTGAATTCTTTAAAAAATGTAGTTATTTTTAAAAAATTTATTAAATTTTGTCAAAATAATTCAATTATTTATGAAAATTTGTTGATAAAATTCTTTATAAGAATTCAATTTTAAGAAACATTTAATTATTCAATAAATTGTATTTTTTTGTATTTAAATAATTGAATTCTTGTAGAATTTCCTAATAAAAATTGATTTAAAAATGAATTTCAGTTAAAACTTTAGATTATAATTAAATATTAAAAGCATTAGAGCGTGAATTTTCAGAAATAATTGAATTTTGAAAAGGTTTCAAATTAAAATCTTTGAAAATCTGAATTTTTCATATTTTTAACTAACAATTCTGTGTAGGAATTATTTTTTTTTTGAGAAAGTTTAATTGCGAATTTTTTTTTCTGGAAACTATTTGAAGTTTTTATTTTCTAATATATTTAATTAATTGAAGACATTAAGAATAATTGAAATTTTGTAAAATTTATTTTTAAACAAATGAATTTGAAAATTCTCAAAGCACTTTTTCAAAAATTATTAAAAATAATGCATTTATAGAAGAATTTTAGTTAAAAACACGAAAATTAAATTTTCCAAAATTTAATTTTGGAAAATTTACAAAAGTAATAATATTTTTCGCAAAAATTAAATACCTATTATCAAAAATAGTAAAATTCTTCTTAAGGATTCAATTATTTTCACAAATAATGAAACTCATCACAGAATTTTAATTATTTTTAATACAATTTTAATCAAATTTCTCGAAAAATGTAATTAATTCTTAAAAATTTCATGAAAATTCGTCGAAAGAATTCAATTATTTAAAAATTTGTTGATAAAATTCTTTATGGGAATTGAATTTTAAGAAACATTCAATTGTTCAATAAATTATTTTTTTTTGTATTTAAATAATTGAATTTTAGAAAATTTTCTAATAAAAATTGATTTTTAAATGAATTTCAGTTGAAATTTTAGATAATAATTGAATATTAAAAGCGTGAATTTTTAGAAACAATTGAATTTTGAATTTAAATTTTTTGAAAAAGATTAATTGAATTTTTTTATATTATTTTAAGTTAAAAACACGAAAAAAAATTTAATTTTGGAAAAGTTACAAATTATTGCAGAAATTCAATTATTTTCGAGAGTAATAATATTCTTCGCAAAAATTAAATATTGTTCGAAAATAATAAAATTCTACTTAGGAATTAAATTATATTTGATATTATAATATTGTAATCAAATGGATTTGAAAATTGTCAAAGAACTGTTTCAAAAATTATTAAATATAATCGATTTAAAGAAGAATTTTAGTTAAAGATTCTTGAAAATAATAATTGAATTGATAATGATTTTATCACTCGGTCATCTTTAATTATTACGAAACATGAAGCATGATCACGATATCGATATCTTCATGTTTTATAAAATTATGAAAAATTTAATTTATAGTTTTAAGTAAAATGTTCTCTTATTTGACTCGGACTGGTTATATTTTTGTCTGCAATTTATCCGTAATTTTTCATTTTTGGTCCTTAAACTCCGTATCTTTAAATACTTTCACTAGTTCGAGCCTTGTTATTGTAATTTATTTACAATAATTTTTTAACTTTGGTGTAATTAACGTACCAGTCAAAAACGCTTTATCTCCTTTGACAAAGACGTTTTCGATAATTTTCTTCTTAGACGCTTCTTCATCTAAATAACCGTTGAATTCCCTAGATGCATTGCCCTGCTTAATTAATCCTATAAACATTCCTGGTTCATCTGAAATTTTTTTTTTAATTTTTCATTAATAATTAATTAACCTTTTTCCATTAAAAAATTGATTTACCAAATTTTTTTAGATTGATTCACTAAATTTTTTTAGATTAATTTACATTTTTTTTTATTGATCTACTAAATATGTTTTATATATTTTATTAGCGAAAAATAAATTTTTCAAAAATTTTATATTAAATATATTGAGATTCAGTTGTGTGCAAAAATGGATATTAATTATTTTTCATTGAACGTTAAATTTTTTATTCTCAAAAATAAAATATTTTTACGATATTGCACAATTATTTGCAATGTATTTGAATTATATTTGTGAAATCGATAAATGCGTTTCTTACTGGTTTCCGTTCGAATGCAAAAGCCATTTGAACCACGAATTGGTTCGCAAGTTTCTGGATTTATTTTAATAAGTGCTACTGGATGTAGACTCTTAGGCAAAATACTAGGGACAAATCCAACAGCTCCCACCTGATTATCCACATTTACTGTAAATAAAAACATTTCTTTTTATCTCAAAGAAAAAATAGTCCATTCATAAAGAGAAATTAGAAAAATAGAAAATTACAGGAAAAATTAGTATGTTTATAAGTAAATAATTAAAATTAAATTTATTCTTTTGGGAGTTAAAATTAGAATTTTTTAAATTTCTTTACCGATATTAGCGTTTCCTTCACTTGAACCGTAGACCTCAGTAATTTGTTCAATTTTGAAACGATTTACGAAATCTTGCCAAAGTTGAGGTCTCATTCCATTGCCCACCATTAATCTAACTGGATGAGCAGTATCTTCAGGTCGTGGGGGAGCAGAAAGTAAATATCTGCATATTTCACCAAGGTACTGAGCAAGCTGTAAAAATAGAAATGTTTTATTTTTCCTTAAATCGAGCGCCAATTAACAGAACTATTACTTTTTTCAATTTTCAATTCTATTAATCTACTCTCTAAATTTGAATTAGTAAAAATGTTTACTAATTTAAATTAGTGACTGACTTTTTACTTTTAAATTAGTAAATTTTACTAATTAATTAGTAGAAATGACTATTTATTGGTAAAATTTACTCATTCAAATTTAGAGAGTATATAATTAATTAATCAGTTATGTTTAATATGAAAAATGAATTAATTTATTCTTAACTTTATTTAAAATTAATTTATTATTAATTATTAATACCAACATATTATTAATTATTCATTAGAATAGAATAGAATTTGTTTTTTGTTGAAACAAATTTTGCTTAACATAATTAATTATTAATCATATTTAATGTAATAATTATATATATTAATTAATTGGAGAGAAAGTAGAATTCAATTTAGAAAGAGCTAATTAAATATCGTACCGTGCAATTATATTTAATACAATCGGTCCAATAAGCAGTTACTGAGAATTTTGTTCTTAATACACTTGGTATTCCTTTAACTAATGCACAACCAGTTCCAACCAGTCCTCCTGCCATATGATACAAGGGAATAGAATTGTACATAATATCACTGTCTGATCTTAAACCCAACATATGATATGTAGCCATTGTCACCAACAAATATCTAAAAAAAAAATTATTTTTGAGAATTAAAAATTTAACGTTCAATTGTTTCTTTCAACAATAAATATTTAGATTTTTTTCAGGGAAATCGGGGAAAATAAAATTGGTCAGGAAAATCAGGGAAATTTTCGAAAATAATCGAGAAAATTTAGCCACGGTAATTAATTATATTTTTATAATGGGTTTTAAATTTTTTTTTAATATATAGGAATCAGATTAAAACAAAATCAAATTTTTGTTTCAACCTTGTTTTTTAATTTACAAAAACATTTTAAATAAGTTTGTGTCAACTAACCGGGAAATAGCCGGGAATTTAATTTGACCGGGAAAAACCGGGAATAAGCCAGGAATTTTATGCCGAACCGGGAATTTTTTCACCAAATTAAAAAAAGTTTTATTATTTTAATTTGTTTTTAAAAAATCGCTTTGTATTTTAATTTGTATAGTTATTTATACTGTTCTCTAAATTTGAATTAGTTGAAAATAATTAATTTGATAGTAAAAAAGCAGTCACTGATTCAAATTTAGTTAGTAAATAAATTTTAAAAAAATGATCGAATTAATAGAAATTTTGTGAAATTCAACTGAAAATAATTAAATTTGTTAAAGAATTTCATTAAAAACTTTTTAATAAATCGAATTTTTAAAGTATTTTAATTTAATAATTGATAAATAATTGAATTTTCTAAAGAGTCACATTCTAGTATTCATGTTTCTTAGTGCGAAGATTAATAATTAAAATTTTTATTAGTTAATTTGAAAAAAATACACACTTAAAAGTTTTTAATAAAATTGAAATTTCGCAAAGTTTTTTTGAAAATTTTTAAAACTAAGATTTTTGAAATTTTTTAAATTCTATTGTTTCAAGACCGGAAAAAATTAGGACAAAGCCGGGAAATATCCGGGAATTTTGTTGAACGAAAATAGTAGATACCCTATATAAATTTTTATAATTTGTTTTTAAATGCATTTATTTTGAAATTAATGCGTGCAATAAATAAAGAAAAATTGTTTAGTGAAAAAAAAGTTGTCTTGAAGACTATAGACTTTAGTTGAAAAGTACATATGCGTTTGACTGCTGGACTTTAATCTTATTCCCCTCAAGTTGTGAGGCCTCTCTGACAAGATTACGAATCATTCATTATATTCACTGTACTCCAGTACTCACTTTAGATCACTTAGAAAAGTTACATAATTTAAATACAACAATTTTTTAAAAAATGTTACTTAACGTTTGCTTTTAGAAAATATTTATATTATCATGGATAACTTAGTTTTATCATGAATTAAGGAATAAACTTCGCTCTTAGCCCCCATTTAATAATCCACCTTCCGATAATGTCTGATGAATTTATCACTTATTATTTCTTATGGTTATCTGACAGTTAAGTGAAAATTGGATCAATTGGGACTTGATATTCCAATTAAGATTTTTTATATTGATGATTTCCTTTCAAAAAAAAAAAAAAAAATAGTCAATCTTTTCTGATCTTTAATATCGTACAATTAAAATTCAATTTATCATTTGTCATTTTCAAGCGTTTGTCCCTATCGATAAATTAATGTCCTTGTCACAGATCCTTAATTTTCTCCCTAATTGATATGAAGAGTTGAAATTACCTCCATTACTCAATCGCGGGTAATATATATATATATATATATATATATATATATGTATATATTTTACCTAATATTTTCTCTTTTAAATATTTTTATCGTAAAATGCTTTCCGACATTCATTTAAATCGTTTCCTGTGATTTTTTTAATTACAATCGTAACTTTTTAAATAATTTTTCTTTTTGAATGATTTTAATTTTAAAATTAATGTATTGATGGTCATTGAGTTCTTGCGAAGAATTCAATGAAAATATTTGAAAATAATTCAATTCCTTCGAAGATTTTTATTATTTATGAAAATAATTGAATTCCTTCGAAGATTTTTAATATTTATGAAAATAATTGAATTCTTACGAAGAGTTTTAAGTTCAATTTTTGAAAATCCTAATTAAATTCTTATGAAGAATTTCTTTGAATTTTTTAAATGATTGAGTTTCTTTAATAATTTCAATTGAATTTTTTGAATGCAATTGAATTTTATCAAGAATTTCTTTGAATTTTTTAAAATAATTGAATTTCTTTAATAATTTCAATTGAATTTTTTTAATGTAATTGAATTTTATCAAGAATTTCTTTGAATTTTTTAAAATAATTGAATTTCTTTAATAATTTCAATTGAATTTTTTGAATGTAATTGAATTTTATCAAGAATTTCTTTGAATTTTTTAAAAATAATTGAATTTATTTAATAATTTCAATTGAATTTTTTAAATGTAATTGAATTTTATGAACAATTTCTTTGAATTTTTTTAAAATAATTGAATTTCTTTAATAATTTAAATTGAAAATTTTGAATGTAATTGAATTTTATCAAGAATTTCTTTGAATTTTTTATAATATTCGTAATTAAAAATTTGATTACACAGGTCAACAAAAAAAGACTTACTTTTTTTTTATGAGATAGCGGAATGGTTTCCTATGTATTTTTGGACGCTGAACACGATCCCGAATTCCAAAATTGCCCATCACGTCAGGATTTTGAGAAAAGTGGGGGTAAAGACCCCAAAAACGCTTTTTTGAGGATTTTCAACATTTCTTTTCTCTTTAACCTGACGTGCTAGAGACTTCCACAAGGTCTTAAATTAAAGCTTGTAATGTGCACTACAAGACCAATATCCATAAAATAAAAAAAAATTAAAATTTTTTTCAAAAAATGGGGTTGAAGACACCAAAAATTTGTGTTTTTGGATTGCTTTAATAGACTTCTTGCAATCGCTTGGATTCGCTTGAAAATGGGTACTTGGGGTTTTTGGGGTCGCTGATTACGAATCCAATATTTGTTTGCAAAAATTTAAAACGGCGAAACCAAGATGGCAGATGTAAAAATTAAGAATTGCTTGGATTCGCTTGAAAATTGTTATTTCAGGGTTTTTGGGGTCGCTGATTACGAATCCGCCATTTTTAATTTTTGCAAACTAATATCGGATTCGTAATCAGTGACCCCAAAAACCCCAAGTAACCATTTTCATGCGAATCCAAGCAATTGCAAAAAGTCTATTAAAGCAATCCAAAAACACAAATTTTTGGTGTCTTCAATCCCATTTTTTGAAAAAAAATTTTATTTTTTTTTATTTTATGGATATTGGTCTTTTAGTGCACATTATAAGCTTTAATTTAAGACCTTGTGGAAGTCTCTAGCACGTCAGGTTAAAGAGAAAATAAATGTTAAAATTTCTCAAAAAAGCGTTTTTGGGGTCTTTACCCCCACTTTTCTCAAAATCCTGACGTGATGGGCAATTTTGGAAGTCGGGATCGTGTTCAGCGTCCAAAAATACATAGGAAACCATTCCGCTATCTCATAAAAAAAAAGTAAGTCTTTTTTTGTTGACCTGTGTTATTGAATTTGATTGAAATTATATTTGAAAATAATTGAATTCCTGAGAAGAATTTTATTATTTATAAAAATAATTAAATTCTTGTGAAGAATTTTATCAAAAAGTTTAAAAATAATTGAATTCCTTTGAAGATTTTTATTATTCATGAGAATAATTTAATTCTTGCGAAGAATTTTAACAAATTTTTGAAAATTCTAATTAAATTCTTATGAAGAATTTCTTTGAATTTTTTTTAAATAATGAAGTTTCTTTAATAATTTTAATTGAAAATTTTGAAAGTAATTGAATTTTATCAAGAATTTCTTTCAAGTTTTTATAATAATCATAATAAATAATTTTACACTATCAAATTTTATGAAAATTATTGATAGAAAATTAAATACTTTTAAATAATTTTATTAAAGTTTTTGTAAATAATTAAATTCTTTTGAAAAATTTCTTCAAGTTTTTTGAAAATAATGTACATAGTTTTTTTTTAATAATTTTAAATTAAAAATTTTAAAACTAATGTAGTTTTTTTTGAATAATTTTAAATTGAAAATTTTGAAAATAATTAAATTAAACAACGAATTTTTTTCAACTTTATATAAAATAATCGTGTCTGTTAATAATTATAATTAAAAAGATTATTGAATTTTATTGAACTTGTATTGAAAATAATTGAAATCCTGAGAAGAATTTTATTATTTATAAAAATAATTGAATTTTTGAGAAGAATTTTATTATTTAAAAAATATTTGAATTCTTGAGAAGAATTTTATTAAAATTTTCTAAAATAATAAACAATAAAAATTGATTATGTACTTAATAAGTGAATTTTAAAAAATTTGAATCTGAAATTATTAAAAAATAAAAAATTTTTGTAATTTGTATAATAATAATAAATTGATTATTATGTTTCGCGGGCGTAACACTTTTTAATTGGTAATTTATTTTTCCATTTGTTTTAATATTTATTTAAAAAAATTTTTAAAAATGTAAAAAAAACCACCGTCAGAAATTTAACTAAAATTAATTTTTAATTCAGTTTTTATTAGAAATTTCTACATCTACAAGAATGTAATTATTTAAAATAAAAAAAAAAATTATTGAATAATTGAATGTTTCTTAAAATTGAATTCTCATAAAGTATTTTACCAACAAATTTTTAAATTTAATTAAATTCTATGACGAGTTATCATAAAATTTTTCCGTTCAAATGAACGAAATTTATTTATTTTTTCTTTAAATTTGAATTCCATTGGAATATTATGTTATTTATTTAATAAATAATAATTTATAAAGATTTAATAATTTTGTTTTTGTAATAATAATAATTTTGTAATTTTGTTTTTGCCTCTAATAATAGTTTGTGATTTTTTATTTTAATTTTAATGAATTCAAAACACTGTCAAAAAATTTCGTTCGTTTGAACCTTTAGCATGTTTGTAAATCATTTGTTTTATACCTAATTGTTATTCGTGAAGTAAAAGTGGACGGAAATTTGGACATTACGGAATTTTTCTACTTTTTCAAAATTCCCTCAATACTTTCGTTTATGGAAAATAAAAAATAATAATATAACATAAATTTAAAGAGAAAATACTAAAACTCCTTTTAATGATTTTTTCAAAGTCACAAGAACTTTAAAAAGCTCGTAAAATTCGACAAATTATATGAGATGTTGAGGACAATATTTAAAAAAAAAGAAAGAAAATACTAAAAAGAAAAAAGTAAGGAACAAATCAATATGAACTAAAGTCGTTTAAAAAGCATAATATGAGTCTTAATTTTGTTGTTAAATTACCGGCGACCATTGATCGAGGTCCTTGTTTCGCCTATTCTTTAGGCGTGTCAAAGTTGACCTACATATAACGCTCAATAATCATGAATAAGGAATAAGACCAAGTAACACAGATAGAGACAAGTTGTGCCAATGACAACTTAGGCTTGATCGTTATGTATATTTCCTTAAAATTGTCATGTCTTGCGATGTTTAATTTTTGAAATAATTAATTTTAGCATTTAGCGACTCAATTTATTTCCCATCAGTGGAATTTCAATTAAATATAATATTGATTGGATACCTTGAATTTGGTATTAGGGCTGCCTTAGGTAATCCGGTGGTGCCACTCGTGTAAATATAGAGTAATTTGTCCCTATAACCGGGTTCTCGATCGACAATTGGCTGTCCTGTACTGGCCTCTGATAATTGTTGATCCAAATTTTTAGCACCATTTGTACTGACATTTTCACCACAGCCTTGTTTGAATTTTTCCAAATCCGATACTGTTTCCCAAATTTCATCAATTGCTGAAATCAAAATTGAATTTTGTTTTCCATTTTCCAGATATTTTTTTTTTTTGGACTTAAACTTGAATTGTAGCTTCCTCTTTTTTGATCTCATCAAAAATTTTTTTTATTTTATTTCAGTAATTACCGAATGTTAGTTCTTTGGAGAAAATGATGCCTTTTACTTTTGCCACTTTTAAACAATGAACTAGTGAATTTAGCCGCAAGTTGGTATTGATTAAGGCTGTGACAACACCAATTTTTCCCAAGCCCAACCATGTGGCGATAAATTCTGGCTTATTTGGCATCATCAACGCCACTGCATCTCCTTTTGAGTAGCCAGCTTTTTGGAAAACTGACGCTATTTGGTTGCTGTATTTGTCTATCTGAAAAGAGTATCGAAATTTTATTTTTAAAATTATGATTTTGAATATTTTTATTTTATCGATTACTTGAACTATTTGCTTTTCATTTTCCTCTTTTTATAAAATTATTGGTTTCATTCAGTGGAATAAAAATAGAAAAATAGGCGATAAAGATTTACGAGCTTTATTTTTTTTAAATAAACAAAAGGTAATTTTCGTAAAATCGATAATTGGTTCAAATACTCCTATACAAGCATTACTTAAGATTTATCGATAGATTATTATTTTTTTATTGTAAATTGAAATCAATTTACTTTTGATGAAAGTTGCACTTTAGAATTATTTCTTGATTATTTTTATTTATCACTATGTAATTATTAAATTTATCATTCAATTATCATCAAATTATCGTCAAATTATCATTAAAAATGTTAAGTCATGTGAAGTTGACAAAAAAGCAGAAGTATTATGTATGAGATAAAATTAAATTTAGTGTCAATTTTGTCATATTTTGCCCTTTGATCTTTAAAAAAATCAATTTAGCAGTTTGTGTCACCGTCTGACTGATAATATTTTTATATACTTCATAAATTGTCTGAACATTTCAATGAAAAAATAAGAAACGGTTTTTTTTTCAAACGAAAGTTCTCAGTGAAACTAACTGGTAAAAATTCATTAAATTCATTAAATTAATTAAAAAAAGAATTTATAAGAATGTTAGAATTTACTTACATCGGCATTAGTCCAAATGCGACCTTCGAAAATAAAGCAGGGCTTATTTGGATAAAGTCGAGTTCTTTCCCTAAAAATTTTCATCACCGTGCTATCATTACGGACAAATCGTCTGGTTTCCAGATCGGCATTAACATAACGATACAGAAATCTGTAATTTAAAGAAATTAGGTTTTACTAGATTTTATAATCAAGGAAAAGTTTAATTTCAAATTAAAAAAATAAAATCGATTATCTAATTTACAGAGGGAGAATTTGTTATACTTGATATGTTAGGTTTGTTATTCTCTAGACTAGCTTCTAGATACAATAATCTTGACAATTATTAGGTTAAAAAGAATTTTATTACTAAAATCAGCATCTGTTTGGCAACAATTGAGGCTCCGGATCTTAAAAGAGCACTTGCACTATTTAAAATCAATGCTGAAAGTGACCTTTTAAGATCTGTATTATAAATATTATATACAAAAATCTAGACATAGAAAACATAATTTTATTACTAAAATTAGCATCTGTTTGTCAACAATTAATAGAAAATGTATATTCTAATTATAAATTTTGTCATCGATTGTAAGAGAAAATTTGTTCTAGAAATGGTGAATGAGTTTGGTAGTCTGTAATGTATTGACAAAGGTGTAATTAGTAAATTTTTGATGTAGCATACTTTATGTGGGGTCATCAAAAGGAAATTACAGTTCAAATTTGTTTTTAATGGTACTTTTTAGTTTTATTCCAATACTTATTGCATAATTCTGTTCATAATAAGCTGTGTGCTTTTATCAAACATTATCGTAATATATTATGAGGGCTACGATCGTTGTCCTTGTGAAGAGCGCTGCTTTAATTTTTAAACGTGGTAAAATTTTTGCTTTATCAGCTGATGCGCTTTTATATTGAATCAAATTGTATCATATACGCAGAATAGATCAGAATAGATGTAAATAGTTATGTACGTAATACTACTTAACTAAATAACCCTTATTAATTGAATAAACCATTTGCAAGTCTAAAATGTAGAGCAAAATTTGTATTCTTATCATATTTTCTTTGCATTTTTATTTACAATCGTGACGCTCGCAGAAGAGAGGTATTTAAGAACCAAAAAAATGTTAGATTGTCTTTATAATTTTTTGAATGAAAATACACTTAATATAAACAACTGATGCTTAAGTCTGCATTAGAACTTTAGTAATAATTAATAAAAACTTGGTTTCAAATTAAACAGAGAAATTGTTAGTTGAGATAAAAGTAGCATAGACATAATCTTTAAATGATTTGCTTCTAAGGTACGATTCTTTGGCAGGGGGTCACAATTATTTTTTTTAATGCAGTTGTCCTTATATCACATCACAAAAAGGGACAGGAGAGTAAACCCAGTGTGCACGTACTGGAACAATTCTGGAACCGTTCTAGAACTGTTCTTTATTTCCATTAATTGTTCTAGAACAGTTCTAGAACGTGCACACTGGGAAGCAACTTGTGGCACTTTGCAGAAAGATTACACTAATATATAATATTTAAGTTCGTAACAAGAGAAAAAGAGGTCAAGAATAGTTTAGAATCTTGTGACGTAATATGCGAATGCACCTATTTACTTTAATTACCATTATGATAAATAATGTTATAATTTTAAATAAAAACATAATGTTGAATAAATAATTTTTGTTTCATTGCAGTTCGAATTGACGAAATAAGGACGATGGACCGAAAGGAGTTAGTACAGCAAGATGACCAAAAGGAAGAGCGATAGTCATTACGAGCAGAAAGAAGAGCGATAAATATTACTCAGTAGGTGGACCCAGCTTATGTATACCTAGTGATGGGACGAGTAATATTTATCTGAAGAAGACGAGTGGAGAGAAGAACAGCGGATATTACTCTTTAGGTGGACCCAACTGATGTAATCCCAGTGATGGGAAGAGTAATATTAGCAAGAAGATTGCAAGAAAGAAGAGCGATAGATATTACTCAGTAGGTGGACCCAGCTGATGTTTACCCAGTGATGGGACGAGTAATATTTATCTGAAGAAGACGAGTGTAAAGAAGAGTGATAGATATTACTCTGTAGGTGGACCCAACTGATTTACCTTCAGTGATGGGAAGAGTAATATTTATCTGAAGAAGACGACTGGAAAGAAGAGCAGCAAATATTACTCTGTAGGTGGACCCAACTGATGTTATCCCAGTGATGGGAAGAGTAATATTTATATTATGTGAAGTGAAGTGTGTAAAATAGTGTTATAGCTCGCGTAATAAAACTTCTCGATAACCGCGTCGCGATCGATCGAATAATTACCGCGAAGCGAAAAAAAAGTATTTTTTAAACCGTATTTGCAAATCGTAAAATTGTTTAGTTTTCATTTCATAGTGTTGTGAATAATTAATTTCGGAGTGTTGTGAATAATTGCTACAACCTTTAGGATGAAGATCATGTGTTCAACAGAGGATATAAAGGTAAAGTTTGAATTTATTTTTTTGACAAAATCTATAGCCTCTCCTCCGACCTTAACAGCGGACAGTAAAATTTACATTCATTTTCCTAATATTATATGTTTATATAAATTTAATTATATTCTGGAGATAAAATATAAAAAAGTAAATCAAAATTAAATTTTTTTGAAGAAAATTTTTTATTTGATAGTAGTAAATCATTTTTTTAACCAATTATAGTGGATTTTTTAATAAATTTTAATTTAATAATTTTAATGAATTCAATAACTAATTGAATTTATTTTAATTGAATCTTGAATATATTATTAAATTTATATAATTAATATAATATAGAAGAGTAGGTCCTTCTGAAATTAGAGTATACCTAACTTAACTTTTCATTTTGTTGAAATAAATTTTTAACTAGTCGAAAAAAAATTTTATTTTGTGACATAAAAAACATTATTTAAAACAAATCAATCAGTAGGCCCGAAAATAAATATACTTTCATTTTACTTTTAAGAAATAGGATTTTTTTTCGAAACGTGGCAGTACTTAGAAACTCTTTAAAATTCATCTCTAATTCAGACAAAATTTGTTTCTTGAAAAACGACGTTGGTTCTTGATATTTTTTATAGGAAGTTTTGTGTCGATTATTAAATTATAGGGTTTTTTTTGTTATTAAAGAAGGGGTTTTGTTTTTTTAAAAAGTGTTTTTTACCGAAACACGGCAGTAGGGGAAAGGTGTACGAGATGATCCCCTGGGGCAAGATGATCCTTTTGAATTTTGGAGATCCTATTAGCGTAACCTTTTAGACAAATACGATAATACGTTGTCAATGACATACCTATGAATCAGTCAAACTGTCATGACAACACGCGTCATTAAAAAAATTCTATTGTAAAAAATAAAAATTTCATACTTTTGATCTAAGAAAAGCTTAACTTTGTACTTAGATAACTTTTGTTGTAGCAGCTGAAATTCCATTTTTCTTGTACTCACAGCTTCAGTATATCTTCAATTAAGTGTTCTGATTGATATTATGGAATAACAGAGCTCGTAGGTTAAGTTACGAACAAATTACAAAATAGTGACATTTGGGGCAAGATGATCCCTCAATGGGTGTACAAGATGATCCCCCCTGATTCCCATGTATTTCGTCTCACCTCAAACTGAATTTTCTAGTATTAATAAAAAATTCAATTTTTCTCGTTTTTTATATGTTTTTATTATCAAAACTAACTTATTTAAAACAAAAAGTTGAAACCTACATCTATTTTATTAATTTTCTTGTTGTAGACAATGCCTCGTAATTATAAAATAGAAAAATGAATCTTGGTGAGTGTTTAAAGGTATTTATAACCTAAATAAAGCATATTTAATATTAATATACGTTATTTCTTCAATTTAGTCTCCTTTTCCAATAATTGGGGTAAGATAAACCTACGGATCATCTTGCCCATACCGTGGGGATCATCTTGGACACCCCGGTATCCAAGATGATCCTTTTGTAAGGTTTTAGAAAAATTAAATTTACTTGTTAAATATTAATTAACTGCATACATTTCTAATCAGAAAAGTTAGATAGATTAATTATCTACAAGTTCGTACAAAACAAACTCAAAAATGTTGATTTTTCTATGAATAATGTTCATTCTCCCTTAGGGGGATCATCTCGTACACCTTTCCCCTACTTAGAAACTATTCAGAATTCATCTCTGATTCAGGAAACAATTTGTTCCTTAAAAATCGATGATGGTCTTGATATTTTTTTACAGGAATTTTGATGTCGATTATCAAATAGGGTTTTTTGCTTTTAAAGAAATTCATCTCTGGTTTAGATAAAATTTGTTTCTTATATAAAAACCGATGCTGGTTTTGACATTTTTTTTTTTAGGAATTTTTGTGTCGATTTCCAAATTTAGATTTTTTTTATTAATGAAGGGCCCTTGTTTAAAAATAGAGACTTTGTCTGAAACGCAGCAGTACTTACAGGTACTTAGGAACTCTTTAAAATTCATCTCTAATTCAGACAAAATTTATTTCTTGAAAAACGATGTTGGTATCTTGATATTTTTTTTATAAGAATTTTTGTGTCGATTATCAAATTAGGGTTATTTTTGTTATTAAGGAAGGTATTTTGTTTTTTGCTTCCTCATAGAGGAAGGATTGTATTAGCAAAATTTTTGATTGTGATTTTTTGACATATTTACAAACTTTTTTTCATTATACCTAATCTTTTAGTACTTTATGCATGAATGGGCATTGCCCGTATAAATGTTATAAATAAATATAAAAAAAATTTTATGTAATTTTATCTCAGAAGTCCAAAAAACGGATTTTAAAAAATTGTCCCCATGTGTGTGTGTGTGTGTGTGTACTAACATTACATTTGCCTCAATATCTCAGAACGAGAAAGAGCTAAAGGCTTCAATTTTTTTTTAATTTGTAGGTCTCCCCGGGGGACATAAAATGAGAGTATTTTCAGCCCGATTCATAAAGTTTAACTATATTTTTTTTGCATTTTTCTTTTTGTAAAAAAACGTTTTTTGGCCATAACTTAAAAAAAATGTTAGGACACCTATAAATATTTTTCTTTAGTTTTGTAGAGTTTTTTCAGACGCATCTTTTGAGCCTTCATTGAACATTTTTCGTCTATATTAGCCGGAGATATTAAAGTTTTAAAAATCCAAATTTTTCGAAAATAACACTTTTTTGAAAATTTTGTTGAAAAATATAAAAGTAACTTTAAAAGTATCATTAACAACTTGTAGAGCATTAAAAAACGTTTCGATTGACATATTTTTTAACCTCATTTGGTCAGAAATTATCAAATTATTGGCATTTGAAAAATCAAAAATTGTGGAAAATATAATTTTTTCAACATTCTTGTTTATTAACTTATGTGTAATTATTAAACTATTATAACCATCTTATAGAATATATAAAAACATATTTGTTGGGCCAAGATTTAATAATTTTTAACTCTTTCATAAAAATTAATTCTTATATTTCAATTATTATTATTTCTATGAGGAAGCAAAGTGTTCATGAAATGAACACCAAAATTATAAAAATGTACAACTTGGCAGCGGTTTTTAAAAAGTGTTTTTTTCCGTAACGCGGCAGTACTTAGAAACTCTTTAGAATTCATCTCTGATTCGGATAAAATTTGTTTCTTTAAAAACGATTCTGGTCTTGACGAATTTTTGTGTCGATTTTCAAATTTTGGTTTTTTGTTATTATTAGAGAAGGGCTTTGTTTAAAAAAAATTGTTAAACCAAGGTTACAAATTTCTATAGCACCTTTTTTATAATCTAAATAATTTAAATTTTATTCTTTTTACTTTGCTTTTTGTCTTTTTTTGTTTTTTAAATTTTTTTTTAAATTTTTGTGGTACTAAAAATTTAAATTAATTTGTTTCAGACGCAAGACTGGATTGGATAGCATTCGCATGTTTCATCACTGGTGAGTGAGATATTTTCTTCAAAAGCGTGAGTTATTTGGTTTATGTATATTATACAAGGCAAAAAAAACTGCGCAGGAGAAAAAAAATCTCCTGATATTCATAAAGTTTATTCTTCGTTTAAGTTGCTGACAATTTCGAAGTTTCAAAATATAATAGGTGTTTTTAATTATATAAATAACGTTTTATTAAAAATTTATGGAGAAAATAATCAATATAATAATAAATTTTTATTAAATATTAATAGATTATAATAACTATAGTAAATGTGATTTTTAAACAAAGAAAAATTAAAGAATAAATTTTAAATTATAAAAAGTAGAAAAATAGTGTTAAAAAATTTAAATAAAAACAAAAAAGATTGTTTTGAACTTTGAACAAAAATTTTCTTATCCATTTTATCATTACATATGCCCTTTTCGTAATAGTTCAGCAACTGTTTTTAGTTTTTTGTTCATAATGTTCAATTTATTATCTATTTGTGTTACAATGTTGCCAGTAAGTAATTTAAAAACGTTATCAAAAAATTTCACTCCTGGTAAACATAATGTTTGTATAGAATATTATAAATAATTGTGCTAAACAAGAAATATATTAAATTGTTGAAAATACGTAAATTTAATTTATTATTATTATTATTATTATTATTAATTATTAAAATACATTGTGTACATTTTGATTTATTTTCTAAAGTGTTTTTAATTTAAGAATTTCGTTTCTTTTGACTCGACACTTTTCTACTTAGTTGAGCTTTCTGAAGTATAACGTAAAATATTGTCTGACCAAAACATTTTACTTCTACTTGTGAAATGATTTTCGGATAAAAGGTTTTCAAAAATTAATCGTTTGATGAACTATTATGAATCTGTGGTATATGAATGAGAATAAATTAAATAAATAAGTTATCAAAAGAATAAAAATAAAAAATTTGCTAATTGGAAAAATAAATTGATTAATTAAAAATTATTTATTAGTTATTTATGACTAATTGAACATATTAGAAAGTTAAATAATCAATTTTTGTCAGTTTACCTGTTTTATTGAATCAAACGAATCTTTTATTCAACGTGAACTTTACTTTGCTTTTTTTCTTTTATAAACTTATAATTTAAAAGGTCTATATTAAAAAGTGTAAAGACTTTTTTTTTACACTTAATATCGAAAACCTTGAAAATAATTATCGGTGGTATGAAAATTAATATTTTAATTAATTATTCAAAGTGTCATAAAAATAGTTTTTTGTTTATTAGAAAATTTATTTATATATGTAAATTATGAATTGGTAATTGATAATTAAATATGGCAAAAGAAATTAAAACATTTTTTTTTATTTGAGAAAAAAATTTTTTTTATATCTTTAACTTTTACAACGATTTGAAACGTGTATGACTTTGAAGAACGTAAAAGTTTATGTTAAACGAAAGATATTTTATTAATAAATTCACTAATTTGGTAAAAGAAAAATTATTCTAGGACTTGAACTTTTTTTTGTACATAAAGGTAATCGTTTGGAGTAAAAAATAACTTTTAAAAATTTGATTACGCAATTATTTGTAAAAACAGTTTTTTTTTAAATTGAATATTTTTGAAAATTCGGTGCGAAATAAAGAATTATTTATTAATATTATAAAATATGATAATAAAAAAATTAAATTAATTAATAATATAATAAATTAATAATATACTGTTTATTTTGATATATAATTTATTTTTAAATAATTCATCATTGAAAATATTTATTTATTCGAAAAACAAAAAAAATTAATTTATTGCATTTGAATATATTCGAGTCGCATTAGTAAATGATTAAAAAACAATTTCGTTTAACATAAACGTTGCGCACTTCAACGTCCTGAAACATGTGCTGCTTTTATATGAGGGTTAATTTTCAAAGTGAGTCACTTAACTTTCGATCTTATTTAACATTGTCTGTAGGAATCGTGTACATATTTTGCAGTAATAAAAATCAATAATTCGTGTCCTATTATTGGTGTCAGATTAAGATTTTTCATTTATAGAAAGGAAATTAGAATTTTGATTAAAAAAAATTTATGTGGGAAAAAATTACGTTGTTGTTTTGTACTTACTTAATATCTCTCGGTAGAGTTCTGATGATGATGTAGATTTTTCGATGAAATTTGTAGATTAGTGGAATTACTGCGGCTGCTAATATAAACTGTGCAATCCTAGCAAAGGATCCAATTCTTGAACTGACGCCGGCCGCCATTAGGCCGACAATAGTCAGCACGAGTAATAAGAATCTGACGTCCATAATATTCAGGCAACCCTCTCTGTAACACGACACGGGGAAAAGGGGTTGTCAGACCTGTGTAATACTCTAGCAGCGCCCTCGACACAATCTAAACTAAATTCATAACTCAATTACGTCATAAACGCCACTGACAGAATTTTTTTTTTTTTTTCTTAAAATATATATGCAAATATGCAATGTTTAAAAAAATATACAATATTTTATCTGCAATTCGGAATATTTTTGTGTTGACAATTTTTTTCAACTATTTATTTACAACTGTGAAGTTTACAATATTTGTAAAATTACAAATATTGTAAATTAATTTTAATAACAATTTAGAGAGAAAAATAATTTTCAATTTAATTTAAAAATACAATATTTTATTTATATTCACAACTTTGAAGTTTACAATATTTGTAAAATTACAAATATTGTAAATTAATTTTAATAACAATTTAGAGAGAAAAATAATTTTCTATTTAATTTAAAAATACAATATTTTATTTATATTCACAACTTTGAAGTTTACAATATTTGTAAAATTACAAATATTGTAAATTAATTTTAATAACAATTTAGAGAGAAAAATAATTTTCTATTTAAGGGCATTTGAACCTTGATGACGTTTCAGTTTGTGCAAAGCATGTGTGACGTCATCAAGTTTCAAATGCCCTTAATTTAAAAAAAAAAACAATATTTTATCTGCAATTCAGAATATTTTGGTATTGACAATTTTTTTTTTCAACTATTTATTCACAACTGTGAAGTTTACAATATTTATAATTAAAAACAATTTAGATAGAAAAATATCTTTCTATTTAAATTTTAGTCTCTAAAAATTGTTTACAATGTTTCTTGATCGACAAGTTTTCTATATCAATCGTTGATGATAAACGTTGTGAACTTTACCCACAATTTTTTCAAAGAAAAATTATTTAGCGTTTAAATACAACTAAAATAATAATAAAATTTACATAAATGTAAATTAATATTAAATAGTAATTAAATAAATAATTTTCTAATGGAAAATTCTAATGGAAAGATTAAAAATAGAAAAGTAGGAAAATAAAGAAATATTAATAAAAAATAATAATTTTTAAATAAATATAAATAGATATTAAGTAATAAAATATTTGTAAATTTTTAAACGGAAATTTTAAAAAAATAACTAAAAAAATAGAAAAATAAATAAAATAAATTTTGTCTTCGTTGACAACAAAGTAAATAATAGATAGCACTTGATAATAATACCTAATGTAATTAAATATTAAATAGTAATAAAATATTAAATTTTTAAACGGAAATTCTAAAACAATAATTAAAAGAAATAAAAAAATAATTTTTTTTTAAAACGAAGTAAATAATAGTAATTGATAATGTAAATAAATATTAAATAGTAATAAAATAGTTACAATTTTTTGAACGGAAATTCTAATAAAATAATTAAAAAAGTAGAAAAATAAATTTCGACCCGTTTGGAAACAAAATAAATAATAGTAAAAATAATATTTAAATAAATGTAAATAAATATTAAGTAGTAATAAAATATTTAGAAGTTTTCTCAACTGACATTCTAATAAAAAAAAAGATTAAAAATTAAATTAAAACTAATAAAAAGTAGAAAAGTAAATTTTGCCCCAGTTGAAAACAAAATAAAAAAAAATTTTATATCAAAGTTAAAGATTTCTAATCAGTAGTAAATTTTTTTCTAATTATCTATTTTTTTCCTTAAAAAAATTTGCATTACTTTGCAGATTAAAATTTTTCTATGCAGGAATATTGTATATTTTTTTATAAATAGTATAATAATTATATGCATATTATACTATACAATGTCTATAGATTTTTTTCTACAAAGAATATTATTCTTTGAGTAGTTTTAAAAATAATTGTCGTGTAAACGAATATTTTCAATAAACATTGTTATCAATTCAAACTTTCAAAGAATTTTTAAAAGAAATGTTTTATAATATTAAAAATTAAGATTCTATAATTTTTTTTAAATTATTCATTGACGAATTTAAGATAATAGCGTTTAATTTTTTCAATTTAAAAAGAAGAAGGTAATTTTTATGTTAAAATCTTCAAAATATTTTATATTTATTTTTTCTCTCATAGTTTTGTATAGTTTAGAAATTTTCCTTTTTTCGATTTTTATTTTTCTATCTTTGTGGGTTAGGTAAAGAATCATTTAAAGCCTTTGATAAAATATGTTAATTTTCCTTAAAGATCCTTTTCCTCTTGAAAATTTTCCTTATCAGTTAATTGCAATACTTTGAAGATAAAATTATCGCTTTTTATATTGTATCATTAGGAATTAATGAAATTAATAAAACTTGTTAATTAACTTATAAATTAAATAATAATGAAACTAATAATTAAATGAATAAATATATAAAAAATATAGAATATTTATTGAGTATTTTAAATTTAAATAATATTTATTACGCATTAAATAAATAAATAAATAAATATTAGAGAAATTGATTAAACAATATTAAAGTTAGTTAAATATTAATGAGATTAATAATTACAATAAATATAAAAATCTAGAATATTTCTATTAAAATGCAAAATCTATAAATATAGAATATCGGTGAAGTTCACGTTTATAATCGACAATTAATGGAAAAAAATTATTTTCCACGTGGGAAGCAATATAATTTTTCTTCGTAAAATAATTGATAAATATTTATAAATATTTATAAAAATTTATAAAAATTTATAAAAAAATAATTTTTAATCAAAAATTTATAAAATATTGATTTGAAAAATATTTTTTTTTCTAATTTGTTGATGTAGAAATAATTAATATTAATTTACCAATGTTATGTAGAAATAATTAACAATGGAATTAAACGGTTTTTGTAAACAAAAGCGTTTAAAAACTTTTTTCAAAGTTTTAGTAGAGAGTTAAATTAAATGACAGTTAAATATATTTAAATAACTATTAGAAAAATGAGAATGAAAAAAGTTTATATAAATATTAAAAATCGCAAAAAGGAAAATTAGAAAAATTGAGTCGAATTATAAGAATAAATTAAACTTAATTAGACTGATTGAAACAATGTTCAATTGAAGATTTCGTTTACGTTTTATTTTAAATTGCAGAGAATTTATAAAAATATTTCTAATTGAAAATTAACTTTAGTTTTAAGTGGCAGAGGATTTATAAAAATATTTTATTTAAAACACTTGTGGCTTAAAGTGGTATTATAAAATTATATTTCCCCCCCCCCTATTGATTAATGCAGTAAGTGTTATTTAATGAAAAGGCCCTATAAATAGTGATGCCATTGTACCCTCAATTGATTTGCAACCAACAACAAAAGGGCGTATCGTCTGATTTTTGAAGATAAAAATATAAAAAATTTGGAGTAAAAAATAAAATTTTTTGTTAACCTGACCATTAAATATTAACAATGACAATTGACCTTTACTTTGTATATCGTTAATAGTTTTTCGAGTGCCGGCTGACGGGGTATATACCATACCGGTAAACGTCATGGACTCTAACCATTATTGATCGTTTCATGCGACGAAAATTTTAGCATTTTTTTTAAAGTATTATCCTTAAATTGTTCTTTTTTAAGCTTTTCAAATTTCCGTAAATTTTTATTCTTCTGTCAAGAAATCGAATTTTCTAATTAACGTACCTTTATGTTTATGAGGAAAATAAGTTTTTTGAATTGTTTTTCAAAAATGGAAAAAAATTTCACGATGAAAAAATGTTCTCTTTAGAATTATTTGTTACTAAAAATGAATTTAGAAAAAAATATTTAATTAACACGTTTATTAACACGATTAATAATATTAGGTGAAATTTTTTTTTGGGGGGTGAAAAATTTCACTTGAGCTTGCGAACTTGCACTGTGCACGAGAGAGTTAACACTGTCTTCTGCTGTCTTCCTGTTTGAGTTGTTTAAATGGAGTAGTGAGACGCGATTCGTTTTAGTCCCCTCTTTTTCCTCGACGTTATAAGTCATTGTATACTTCCGCTGATTTTGAGTGTATGAACGAAAAGAATTAATCGAGTTCCGTTTATCAATCACCTCCCTCCAGCAATTAATCACTGAACGATAATTCTCCTAGTTAAACAAAATATTATTTATTAAAAAAAAATAATTGCCATGGGAATGTATAGAAAAATTTATTTACGCAACATTTTCTTTTTCGAAATGTATAACAATGTTTGGATATTTTATTAAAATTTAATTGATTGTGTTATTTAAAAGATAATGAATAAATAAATAAATTAAATAATAAAAAAACAATTAAAAAAATATGATAAAAATAATTAATTAATTAGCGTGATTTATTAAATTAACAAAGTTAACTTAAATTCACAATATTGATTTAAAAAAAGGTAAATTTAACAATAAATATATAAAATTCATATAAAAATTATTTTACAAAAAAATTTGTGACTAATTTATGACTTAAAATAAAAAATTTATAATTAATCGAATAAATATTAAAATTAATTTGTAATATAAATATTCGTATTGTAGTGAATTAATTAATTTCTTATTTACATGCATAAATTTTTTATTCGTTGTACAATTAAATTATAATCGATAATTTTTTGATATAGTAACAAGAATAAATTAGAATAAATATTTAATTTTGTTGCAGCGCAATTAAACAAAGTAAAGATTTTTCCTTAGTGTAATATAAAACGTAGATAAAACTTCCGAATGCTTTGTAGCTAAACTGTCTGTATATATAGATTACATTCCGTTATTTGATTTAGTCTCAGGACTTCTAAGTTCATTGTACCTTTTAGTCTGCGAAAAAGTTCCTAAAATTCCAGTCACTGAGAAAAAATGTCTTTCTTTCAAATAACCAATTACTTGTTTGTTAACAAATAAATATTTACTTGATTAAATAAAATTTTAAATAAAAATAAAAATTAGAAGTAAATATTTATTTGATAGAAAACAACTAATCGGTTATTTGGATCAAATAAATTTTTTCCAGTGCAAAGGTGGTTTTATTGTACTTAATTTTTTTTAGATTTCTTATAAATTAGGATGTTTCTAAAATTCTGAACGTTGAAATTAAATTTTTATTACAATAATTTTGCGTTACTATCAAAAAAATTAATTTTTAATATTCTAAATATAAAATTTAAGTTTTTAATTTACATTGCAATCAGTAATTTACGAAATTATTTGTGATAAAAGATATTTCAAAATTTTTTGATCGTTAAATTATAATGTAAAGTGTTAAATTATAAATTTAAAAAGTATTTTTCAATTTTTAAATTCAATTTATAACTTTTTTTCTTTGTGATTGATTTTTTAATTGTCGAATCTCGACTTAATAATAATTTTAATCATTTAATTGCAAGAATAATGTTTTAATAATAATATTTTCTAATAAAAATAATATTTACAATGAACAAAATGTTCTTAATATTATAATATTTTAACACAACGAACAAAAAACTATAAATACATATACAGAAATTATTTAAAGAACTTTATAAGTTCAAATTGTTAATAAAACTATTAATAAAACTAAAATTTATCAAATTAGAAATTTATAAATAAAAGTAAAACTTTTAATAAAAAAAACAATAAGTAAAAAATTCTTTTTGTTTATTTTATTTTCATGCTTCTTTATTAACATAAATAAAAAATTTCTTTTGTTTATTTTGTTTTCATGCTTCTTTATCAACATAAATAAAAAATTTCTTTTGTTTATTTTGTTTTCATGCTTCTTTATTATCTATATAAATAAAAAATCCGTTTGTTTACATTTTTTCATGCCTCTTTATGTCAATATTTTTTCTAATATTTTAAAAAATAAATTTACTTACTCATTTATTTTCCCCTGGATATAATTTTTTAACAATATATATTTTTAAATTAATTTCTACAACTCGTTAAGAAAATATATTTGGAAATTATCGACAGTAAAATAAAATAAAGTTTTATTGAATTTGGAAGTTTTTGAATTTTGAAAATCCATTTAAAATGTAGTACTTCAATAAAATATAATAATAATAAAAATAATAAAAATAATAAAATACAATAAAATATAAAAGAAGAAATAAAATATCAATATTAGGAAAATAAGAGAAAATGATAGTTAATAATTAAATAGCCGTTAATTAATTAAGTTTTTAAAATCACATAACCATGAAAACGCACACACTGTATGATAAACGAAACAAAGAACTGGCGATGCTGCGCTTATAATCGCAATAGGTTGCACATGATTTTTTTTTGTATTTGTTATCTTGTACACACAAGTATGTGTTTTTGTATTTTTTTTTCTTTTTTTAAAAACACTAATTAACTATTTCGACTAACGAAATGAGATTTGTTATATAAATTCACGTATATATTCTTTAGTCGAGAAGAGAGTTGGTTAAATTTAAAAATAGATCTCTCATGAGACGCGAGTTTTAATCTGCACTTTGCATGTGCATAGCGTTTAATGAAAAGAGACAGAAAATTCAACAACTAAGTACGAAAGTTTGAACTTTAATATTAAAACCTCACTCTATTTGTCTCTTGTTTCTTCGCACGCATTTAGAGTAAGACACAATTCACTGATCAACTAAACTTTTAAAAGAGAAATTATTCCGGTTTTATGATGAATTGAAATTTTTTAATCTGGCATTTTTTTCATTAGTCGGATGACTATTCGATTAATTTCAAAAATTTTAATTCAGCTCGACTTTATACAAAATAAAAAAAAAATACAACAAAAATAATAATTAAAAAATAAATAAACCGAAAAATAATAATTAAAGAAACAATAACATGAGGCGAATAATAAATTTAATGCAATATTAAAAAATAGTAAAATTTATTTTTTAGAGACAACAAATAACAAGATTTAAATCGTCTATAAACTGCATTCTGTGATATTTTTTTTGTAGAATTTCTAAAAGATTCATATGAACGAAAATATTTTGTTAAGAAATGGAACATATGATAGTAGTAAAAAAATTAATTCTTCTTTTTATTTAAAGAAAAAATACGCATATTTTGAAAAATAAAAATATTTATTTAAAAAAGCCAAATTGGTATTGTTCGAAGTAATTTTTATTTGTGCAATAATATTAATATTAATTAATATTTATTTTTAGCTAATTTTTAAAATTATTTCGTTCATTTGGACTTTGAGAATTTCACGAACATTATTTTTTGAAAGTTTAAATTCTTTTGCAAATATTCAAACAGGAAAAAGTCACTTGATACTATAATTATTTAAATTACTTAATTATAATTATAATATTAAATGGAGTGGTTTCAATTATTAATCTATTGATAAAAAAAAACGTTCGGATCACAAAATTTTATCTAAAAAAAATCACACATACGTACATACTTATAAATATTAATTTACACGCTTTGCTTTGTGCAACAATCTTTATTTGAAAAAAAAAATTACTAACTCGTTGACCCTGAAAATTGGAATTAATATCAATATTCAAAAATTGAAAAACTTTGCCTAGTAAATATTTTTGTAATATTTGGAAATTGTAAAATCTTATTTGTAATCTGTTTTGAAATATATTTTATTTTTTAATCACGAGAAATGCAGAAAATTCTTCTAAAATTGAATTTAGAATTCTCAAAAATTGTAAAGATTATTAAAAATTTTTTTTACTATTATACTAACTATTAAATACACTTTCATCTATTAAGTCTATTGTACCTCTTGCAATTGCACCTCAACCTAAAATAATATTTTCTTTTTTTATATTATAATCGCTATATTATATAAATATATTATTTGTCATGAAGTAGAACTTTTACAAACAAAGTGTAAAGTATGAAATATAATTTGCATTTTTTTTAAATACTTTAATAATGTAAAATAAAATAAATTGTAGTATTTGTTTATTTAAATATATAACGTAAAAACTAAAATCTTAAAATCTATTTTCGAGAATGTAAAGTAATTAGAAAATGGAAAATAGCAGAGTATGTACTTTTCTTAGGTATCAAAACTTTTATAGTACCCCCACACTAATTAAATTCATTTTTATACACTCAGAAAAAAATATATTTGAATCAGAGTCAACTAGAATTTTTATTTGATTCGAATAAATTTTATTTGGTCCAAATAAATTTTATTCGTTTCAAAGAAATTTTATTTGGTTCGAATTAAATTTTACTTGGTTCAAACAGAAATTTTATTCGGTTTAAATAAATTTTATTTCGTGAAAATAAATTTTATTTGGTGTAAATTAATTTTATTTGGTTCAAATAAATTTTATTTGGTTTAAATAAATTTTATTTCGTTCAAAAAGAAATTTTATTCGATTCTAATTTACTTGTGTCGAATAAAATTTTTTATTCAAATTAAAAAATAATTTAGTGGCTCTGAGATGAATATACTTTTATTTAGTTCAAAGAAATTATATTTCGTTTCGATAAAATTTTTCTCTGGATGATAAGAAAATTGTTTTATAAAAAACTGTTTGACATTTACATTAACAAAAACAAGTGTTTGTTAATTTTTTGAAACAAATTTAATTTAAAGTATATGTCTTGAAAAGTAATTATTGATGCGACCAGAAACCCTATGATAATATATTATTATCTGTAGATAATTATAATAAAATTAATTATTGCGCGATAGGTACAAGGTATCTCCAGCTACCTTCTTCAAAGCACTATAGTTTTACATATTTACATGTAACTAATTTTATATCACTGAAAATTGTTTGCAAAAAGTTTTTTCACTAGTTTTTAAGAATAACAAATTTTTTTCTACTATTATAAAATTTCTATTTTTGAGATTCGTATCGGAAATGGACGCAATTGAAAGACTATTTTTTTAGCTTATGTTAGAAATTTTTTTTATTATTGAATTTAATTTGATTTAACTCGATTTGAATTTAATTTGTATTGAATTGGAAATTTTTATCAGGAAATATTTGATGAATGAAGAATTTTAATTCTTAAACTTTCTTTTTATATGTTACATTATATGTTTAATTGTCTGTTTATAATTATTAATTTTCTATTTAATTCTAAATTTGATAAAAACCTTTTGCTCACATTTCTCAAAATTGAAAATAGTATATAAAGCACATTCGTATTTACAAAGTATTGTTTCTTCCTTAAGTTAAAATTTAATATTTTAACATCTCGTGGAAGATTTTTCGAAAAAGGGCAATTCACAGGCATTTCTTCTCTTTTGTCGTTTGATTCTCTATATATTCATTATATAGAATTGAAAGCAGTCTTTGAATTTCACTCATAGATTGTATATATTTATGTATTTTTGTGAAATTTTTAAATTTCAATTTTCAATTTGAAAAAAATCATCTTGAGCTGTATTTTTACACTGGAATTTCTTTGTCCATTGGTGAAATTTCGTTCGAAGCATTAGTGGATTTAGGTCTTGAAAAAAGTGTTTTTTTAATTTTTCTTTTTCTCGTTGATTCCTCATCTATTTTTTCTAGATGTTTCGTAATTAAAATTTAAATGCACAACTTTTCACAGTTTTTGCATTATGATTTAGGTTAATTTTGAAGACGTAGAATTTCAGCAATTCTTTGTTGAAATTATTTTCATAATTCAGTTTGGAATTTTTTTTCTCTTTCTAAATCAAAATCGAATTTTGCCCTGTTGAATCAAATCGAAAATTTCTGATGTTACTAATTGATAGCCTTCCTTTGGATCTAAGTAATAAATTTTGTCTTTTATCCTCTTGATGTCGTAACCGTCTTCTTGGAGGTCCTTCTTTTTTAATTTAAATGTTCCTGGAAAAATCGAAAAGCTTTTGAGAAAAAGTAGTTGATGTTGGGAAAATTAGAAGAATTGAAGTTAATAGAACGTAATTGAATTAAATAAATTAAATATTAAACAAATATTAAATGAATATGAAGTGAATATTAAATGAATATTAAATGAATATTAAATAAATATTAAATGAATAATAAATAAGTATTAAAAAAATATAAAATGAAAATTAAATAAATATTATAGTAATTAAATAAATAAACACCTGTTAAATCAATTTTCGTTAATATTCTAACAAATTGCGGCCTTGCGTAACTCGGTAAATGTTCTTTAATGTCAGAAGACAAACGTTTTATGTCTAAACTCCCATTTTCATCGTAAATTGCAGCCATTCCAGCTCTGCCTTCTGCCCCTCGAATCTAAAAAAATTCCAATTTATTAACATTTAGTTTTTTAATAAATAATGAAAAGCTGAATTTTATTCTTAAATTTTAATCTCTTTTTTAATTTTAGAGATAAAAAAGTTTTCTATTTTATTTATTTGTTTTGAACGTTTAAAAGAAAGAAATATCTTTTCTGTTTAATCAAACTTCAAAAATTACTATACTAAAGTGGAAAATAATTAAATTAGATAAAGAATTAATGTTTTATTACAAAAAAATTTCTTTAATAAAATACAAATTTAAAAGAGTAATAAAATGAAAAGACAGTAAAAATGTTGTCACATTTTTACTGTCTTTTTATTTTATTACTCTTTTGAACGTTAAAATTTTAACGTTAAAAACTTAAAACAATTATTTAAATAAATTTAATCTATAAATTTTAATCTCTTCTTTAATTAAATCTGTTTAATTTTGAAGTGACTGTAAAAAATTTTGTTCCATTTCGCTTATTACCTCAACACCATATACAATACAATCTCTGTAATTAATGTGATTGCTGACAATTGCCTCAATTTCTGACGTCGATACATTTTCCCCTTTCCAACGAAATGTATCTCCAGTTCTATCTTTGAAAAATAAATAGCCAAATTCATCTGCTTCGATAATATCACCTGTAATTAAAATTTAATATTTTAATTCGTATAATTTTTATTTTCCACATGTAAATAATTTGTGGAAAATAATTTTTTTTTAATTTGAACTAATAAAATGAATAAAACTGACCGGATAAAAAGGCAGAGTCTCCTTTTGTGAATACATTGTGAACTACTTTACTCTCGGATGCTTTTTGATCTACATATCCCAGAAACGCTCTGGATGGATTACTAGTTATTTTTCCAATGAACACACCGGGTTCGTCTGTTGAAAAAATATTCGTTAGTAATCATTAATTTTTATTTGTTTCTTTTTTAGATAATTTTTTCGAAAATTTTTTTAGTTAGTCGATAGTCGATAGTATTATTTTTGAACCTACTTGGCTTGCAAACTTGACAGAGTCCTTTTGAATTTCTGACAGGCTCCCCATCGGCGTCAACTTTAATTATCGAAATTGGATACACAGCCGGAATTATACGCGATACGAAGCCAATTGCACCAACAGTATTGTCCACGTTAACTTGAAATTTGAAAAATTGGTAAAATTAGCGAATCTCCCAAAAAAAACAACAGATTTTTATTGTTTAGAATAAAAATTATACAGAAATAAAAAAAGAACAAGGAAGGAAAATTGAAATTCTTACCGATATTTGCGTTTCCCTCAGTAGCGCCGTAAAATTCGGCAACTTGAGGAATTTTAAATCGATCGACAAATTCTCGCCATATTTGGGGTCTTAAACCATTTCCAAAAATTGTTCGAATTTGGTGTTGTGTGTCTTCGGGCTTTGGGGGAACTGCTAAAATATATCGACACATTTCACCGATATATTGAGAAACCTGTAAAAAATTTATTCTTTTAAAATCCAATTGCAAATTAATTTATGTTCCTAAAGTTTTGAATGTAAAAGCGAAAGTTGTTTTTATTACTACTTTTAATTTCGATTTTATGAAAAAATATTTTCTGCATAAAAAAATTAATTATGAACTAATTTTAAATTAATTGAAACTAATTAATTTTTACTCTCTAAATTTGAATTAGTAAAAATGTTCACTAATTTGACTTTTGCTTTTGAATCAGTCAATTTTACTAAAAAATTAGATAATTTTACTAATAAATAGTCAATTTTACTAATAAATAGTAAATTTTACTAATAAATATTATTTTCTACTAATTTATTAGTATAATTGACTAATTCAAAAGCAAAAAGTAAAATTAGTGAACATTTTTACTAATTAAAATTTAGTGAGTAATTGAGTAAATGTTGAATTTACATTATTTTGCAATTTACTGTAATAATTATTGAAAATATTAAAAAAGAAAAAAATTATTTTCTTTTGCAAATAATCATTTAAACGTTCAAAATTTTAGAGCAATATTAATTCAATGAAAATCAATGTATACTGGAAAAAAATTATTTGATTCTAGTCACCGATGACTTGGCTATTATCAAATTAATATTCACTTGAGTCAAATAATTTTTATTTAAATCGGTTAAATTATATTTGTTTCAAATATTAAAATTATTGGTTCAAATACAATTTAATTGATTAAAATAAAAATTATTTGATTCAAGTAAATATTTATTTGGTAAAGTAAATATTTATTTAATAAAGTAAATATTTACTTTACCAAATAAATATTCACTTGATAAAGTAAATATTTATTTGGTAAAGTAAATATATATTTGGTAAAGTAAATATTTATTTGGCAAAGTAAATATTTATTTGATAAAGTAAATATTTTTTTGATAATAGACAATGAATCGTTAATTTGAATAAAATAAATTTTTTTTCAGTGTTCGAAGTAAAAAAAAAGAATTTAGTACAAAAATATTTTTACCGTGCATTTATATTTCACGCAATCACTGAAATATGCACTGGCTGAAAATTTTTTTCTAATTATTGTTGTTCCTCCATGCAGAAGAGACTGTCCTATTGACATAATACCACCCGCAGTGTGATATAGAGGTAATGGAGTATAAAATCTATCAGAACTTCGAAAAGCCACTAAATAGTGAATAGCACTCGCAATAAATATAAATCTGAAAAAAATATGCAAAATTAAATATTATCGTTGCATTGTACTTTAGTAAAATTTTAGTTTTAGTTTCAGTTTTTTGAAGAAAAAAAAAAAACTTTCGATCATAATAGGAATTAGGTGTAAAATGTAAAATTATTATTTTTTGTAATTACCTTGAATTTGTAATTACAGCTGCTTTAGGAAGTCCAGTTGTGCCACTGGTATAAATGTACAAAATTTTATCGTGATAGCATGGTTTTTCTTGAATAACTGGAGGGACTGTAGGAGCATCTGCTAAAAAGGCAGTGAGATCTTTCTCCTTTAAACCATTTGATTGTAGTCCTGGTTTCTCGTCGAATCTGTAGAGAGCAAGTTTTGCGTCCAAAGAAGATGCAATGTCCGTAACAGCTGCAATAAAAAATAGTTTATTTTAATTTTTTGCAAATTTTTTTCTAACTTTTAATTTTTTTTCTAATTTTTCAATTTTTTTTTCTAATTTTCTTTTACAAAAATTTGAAAGAAATTGTACAGTATTAATTTGTCAATTTTCTTTTTTTTATTTTCTAATTTTTTTTAATTTCTAATTTTCTAATTTTTTTAATTTCTGTTTTTCTAATTTTCCTCTAATTTCTAATTTTCTTTTATAATGTTACAAAAATTTGATAGAAATCGTACAGCATTAATTTGTCAAGGATATACTTGAACTAATAGATTATTTTCTAAAGTGTAATTTTTTAATCAAACAAAAATTGTTTTCGTCATTTTAAAATTTCCTTGAAATGTTGCGTGACTTAATCTCTTTAGATCTTGCGAGTGAATTAGGCCAGAAGTACATTGAGGGTTTAAATTTTATGATAAAATTATATTTAAGTGTAAAATTGTCAATGTAAAAAATTTTTCTTTTCTTATTGAACTGATAGGTGATTTTAATTTTTTTACATGGATCGACAATTTGAAAAACTGAATTAAGAAAAATGATCCTAAAGTTCTCAATGTTCAAATGAACGTTTATTTATTTTTTCTTCAAATTAAGTTTTTATTGACCCTTGTGAACCTTTTTTGAAAGAAAATATATTTTACAATAATTTTCCGTCACTGTCAAAAAAGAATTAATTGTAAAGTTTCTAAATGTAAACTTTAAATTATCAACTTCTATTGCAATCAGTAATTTGGAAAATTTAGGAAAATATTTTTAATAGGAAATATTTCGTTTATTTGAACGTTAAAAATTTTTAACGAATTAATTTTAAAGTTTCTAAATGTAAAATTTAAGTTATCAACTTCTATTGCAATTAGTAATTAGGAAAATTTAGGAAAATATTTTTAATAGGAAATATTTCGTTTATTTGAACATTAAAATTTTTTGGATTATTTAAAAAATTGTTTTATTAAAAAAATATTTTCTTACCATCTGCCAAGTCCGAACCATAAATTAAGGCTTGACATTTCGCGGTGTTAATGCTGTGTAATAGGGAAACTTTTTTTAAATTTGTATTTATCAGCGGTGTAATAATTCCAAGTTTGCTAAGTCCAAGCCAAATTCCCACATATTCTGGCCGATTTTCCAAAAATAACGCCACTGTGTCGCCTTTCCGGTATCCATGATTTTTGAATGTCGATGCTACTTTATTACTAAACTCCTCCACCTGCAAATTTAGTAAAAATATTTAGCAAGAGTATTAAAAAAAATTTAATTAAATAAATTAATAGGTAAATATTAATAAATGTTAATAAATTAATTAATAAATATTGATAAATATAAATTGAATAAATAAATTAAAAAATATAAATAAATAAATACGAACAAATAAATAAATTAATAAATATTAAAAAATAATTTTCAGAAAATATTGATAAATATAAATTTAATAAATAAATTGAACAATATAAATAAATAAATAAATACGAACAAATAAATTGATTAAAAATATCGAAACATAATAAAATATAAATTAATAAAAACTTGATTTAAACAGCAATTATTTAGTTCAAAAAGATTTATTTGATAAGTCACTGATTAGTTGAATAAAATAATTTTTTTTCGCTCGTAATTAACATTTTTTATTCAATGATAAATCAAGTAGATCAAATATTACAAGAAATAATTAAATAATCACGTGTTAATAGAATTGACAAAGTATCTTTTATGATATTGTCAAACATTTACCTCTAATGATGAAAGAATTTTGGAACTTTTTCTTTGCTTTAAAATTTATATTGAAACTTAAACAAATGTAAGAGTGGAAATGTATTTATCTTGCGCAAATAAACTAACACAAACTCTGCATAAATTTTAACTGAACACTTACAGAAACAGTTAACTTTGAAATGATTTCTTTTTTCAATTTGAAATTTTAATTATTATTATTAAATTAATATTAAATATTTCGATAATTAAGATTTTTTTTTGAAATGTAAATAATTGAAATGTTTAATTAAATTAAATTAAATTAAAGTTAAATTAAATTAAAATTAAATTAAAATAATTTAATTATTATTTTTTTGTTTATTTGCTTGAATATTAGCGGGGATATTATTATTTTTAATTTTATTGTTAAAAAAATGTTTATTTACTTGTTGAAAAGTCCATTCTTGGTCTTCGAATATCAAACACACTTTATTAGGATGACGCTCGACATTTTGGCGAAAAACATCAGCTACTGTTCTATTTTTTTTGTCGTGTCCACGAATTAGCCAAAGAAGTTTGACGTATCGGCTAACAGCTCTGAAAACAAATTTTTAGTTACTTATCGTATTATGAACAAAAAAAATATTTTTTTATCCGATAAATAAATTTTGAATCCAAATAAATAAATAAATTATTATATCTTAATGACAAACTATTTTAAAAGGATTAAAATCTCTTATCAATTAATTTTCTGCGTATTTAGATATGTAGATTAATATCGACTAAATTTCTAAAAAATATCTAATCTTATCATTTTTTGTAAATTTGAGAAAAAACTTCTCTTTTTTGACATAATTGAATTGATTGAATCTTATAATGATTTAATAAGTCGAGAATATTTCTTTCGAGATGCGGATTTATTTTATTAGTGAGTACGCAAGTTTTCTTGAATGCAAGAGAAACGAGTTTTTCTCTCTCTCTCTTTTTTTCTCTCCCTCAATCATAGTAAGGAATACGGGATTGTACTAGAAATCACTCTCAACCTACTGAGAGAGATTCCGTTATTCACTTTTGAAGATGTTCTATAATCTTTCACGTGATTTTAAACTTTAAAGAAAATCGGAAAATATGGAGGAAATAAAAAAAAACACTTGTATGAATTTGTATTATGATCGAAATTTTTTTTCTTCTTTAATTTTGCAACCGATAATTATATTTTAATTTAAACTTAATTTTTAAAGCGTAAAAAATTCTTTGTCTTTGAAATAAATAATAAAACCTTATTTTTTTAATAAAACAATTTTTTTTAATAAATCATTTTTTTGTAAACATTTTTTTGTAAACTTTTTTTTGTAAACTTTTTTTTGTAAACTTTTTTTTTAGTAAACAATTAAACAAGTGGGACAAATATATATATAAATTAAACAAGCCGTAAAAATATCCAATTGAAGGAATAAGAGATTTTTATTTCTTGTATGATTAATGAATTCATTTGTTGCAAGAAAAAAATTACAGAATATTCATAAATTTTCCAAAGCTAAGATTGAACGTTCTGTGCAAAGTTCTCCTTTATAGTTAGCAAATAATAATTAATGTCAATTTACTACTGTGAAACTTGACTTAATTTCCCGTGTGGAAAAGAATAAGCTACTATTGCAATCGGAAATGTTTAATTATGAAGTGTTGGGCTTTAAATAGAGACATAAAATAAATACAATTAGTTTACTCTATATAATATATGTTTTGAGATTTTACTATATAATAGAGTTGACAATGAAAAACTGCATCTCGTGTATTTCATTCATGATTATACTAGAAGGTTTTAATATTCAAAGTGAACTTTACACTCGACAATTATAACTATATTATAATTATACTTTCGAAAATATAAAGAATGGATTTTAATAGTTGAAGATATTAAAACTAAAAACAATTTTTTTATTTTTCTCTTTCTCTCTTTTTCTTTCAAGTGATTCTTTTTCTATTGTCATGTTATAGTTTGCAAAAATTAACACGTTCATTGACAACAAAATCATCAAATAGAAAGTACTTGGCCAATAGAAAATTATTACTCCAAGAAATTTTCACTTTCTTATAAATAAAACAGTTTCATCATTTAATAAAAAAAAGTAGTTGGGAAAAATAAAAATACAATTTTTTTTATCTTCATTGCGAAAATAATCTTCTTTAACAACTAAAAGTGTAATACATGAATTTTTTTTATAATTGTTGTCACGAACAGGAAATTTTAAGGTCACCAAAAATTACTGAGCACTTTTTTAATAATGTATCAATTTTATCCTGAAATTGTATAAGTAAATTAATTGTGTAACGTCACGAAAATTTAAAATAACATTCTTCAAGTTTGATAAATAATTAAATTAATAATAAACTGTTGAATGATAACTTACAATTAACAACAGATATTAAAAAAAATTATAAAATTACTTTACAAAATTGATTTTCTTTTGAAAATATAAACATTTATTGGAATTGCGCTAATGCCGGTAGATTAAGAGGTGCATTCTTTGTCAGGGGTTTAAGTTCAAGTATCAAAACTAGTTTATTGTATAATTTACATACATTTTTTTTATCCATTTCAATAAAAGTCAATCTAACAGACATTAAAAATTTTTTCCTTTCTGAATAAATAGTTTTTATAAACAATAATAATTTTTTAACTGTAATATTTTTTATGGCTTATGACAATTTTAGACTAGCTTATTCTTATTGTTTAATAATAATAATAGTTTGTTTATTAATTTTTATTTTTTTTTATTTAAAATTTTTTATTCTTTTTTTTAATTAAAAGCTTAGTGATTTTATTTTTATTATCTCTATATAAGTGATTAAAGGAATTATTTTTTTATTATTATAATTTCTTTCAAGTTTCAATATTTTTTTAGCACCCTTATCTAAACACTTTAAAATGTTCCCATTTTAAAATATATTTACATTGTTGAAGAAAATGTGTATAATTATCATGTATAGATATTAACATTCTAACGCGGTTACAAAAAAAACCTGTATTAGAAAAAGATAATCATAAAATTCTTTCTTTATTTCAAAGCAAAATAAAACTATACGATAATTGAAAATTCTTTTTTAAAAACAAGAAAAAAAAATTTATTTGAATAAATTTGTAAAATAACTTTTCAAATTTTAAATTCTAATGAATTTTTTGTATTATTAAACAAATTACCTTTTGGGTTGGATAAATTAGAAACTTATTTTTGCGTTTTTTGAGAAAGATTTTTTCTATAGCAAGAAATACTATGTTAACAATAATATAATTAAAAATAAAAAAATAAAATAATAATAGAATCGTAAAGTAATTTTTTAAATTTATTTCCTAAATTTTCTAAGAGAAAAATAATTTAAAATAGACAAAAAATAAATTATTTTTAAATATAAATACGAATAAATATAATATATAATTTATTATGTCATTAAAGTTTTGAACAATTATTATAAAAATAATATTAATAACAATAATAAAAATAATAATTAATTAATTGTTAACTTTCTTCCTTTAATTTAAAAAAAAGTTATTATTATAAAATAATAATACAATCTTAAAGTAATTTTTTTAATTTATTTTCTACCTTTCTTAACGCAAAAATAATTTTAAATCTTAGACAAAATAAATATAACATACAAATTATTAGGTCATTAAAGTTTTGAACAATAATAAAAATGATATTAATAACAATAATAAACATAATAATTAATTAATTGTTAACTTTCTTCCTTTAATTTAGGAAAAAAATAATTATTATTATAAAACAATAATACAATCCTAAAGTAATTTTTTAAAATTTATTTTCTACATTTTTTAACGCAAAAATAATTTAAAATAGACTAAATAAATATAACTTACAAATTATTATGTCATTAAAGTTTTGAACAATAATAAAAATGATATTAATAACAATAATAAACATAATAATTAATTAATTGTTAACTTTCTTCCTTTAATTTAGGAAAAAAATAATTATTATTATAAAACAATAATACAATCCTAAAGTAATTTTTTAAAATTTATTTTCTACATTTTTTAACGCAAAAATAATTTAAAATAGACTAAATAAATATAACTTACAAATTATTATGTCATTAAAGTTTTGAACAATAATAAAAATAATATTAATAACAATAATAAACATAATAATTAATTAATTGTTAACTTTCTTCCTTTAATTTAGAAAAAAAATTATTATTATTAGAAAATAATAATACAATCCTAAAGTAATTTTTTAAAATTTATTTTCTACATTTTTTAACGCAAAAATAATTTAAAATAGACAAAATAAATATAACTTACAAATTATTATGTCATTAAAGTTTTGAACAATAATAAAATAATAATAATAATAATAATAATAACGATAATAATAAAAATAATAATAATGATAATAATAATAATAACAATCATAAAATAAGAATATAATCCTAAAGTAATATTTTTAATTTAGTTTCAGTTTGGTAACTTTAAAACTATTGAAAATATTGAAGCACAGAAAAAGGTTCATTTGAACGCTCAAAACTTGAGGAAAATAAGTTATTAAAAAAGTCACCGAAAAAATATATTTAATTCAAATAAACTATTATTTTTCTATTATCAAATGAATTTATTTGTATCAGATAAATATTTGTTTGTATTAAATAGATATTTATTTATATCAGATAAATATTTGTTTGTATTAACTAAATATTTTTTTGTATTAGATATATATTTATTTGCATCAGGTAAATATTTATTTGTATCAAATAATTTTTATTTAAATCAATTAAATTGTATTCTCTTCAAATATAGTGAAATATTATTGGTTTAAAAACAATTTCTTTAATTTTAATTAGTTTATTTAATTATTTTATTCAATTAGTTTATTCAAACAAATTATTTATTTCAGCCAATTAAATAGTATTTGCTTCAAGTAGGGGAACATAGTCTAGGTCGGCCACCTTTTTGACTTTTGTTTATAACTTTTTTTTAAAAATGAATTTGGACAATTGAAGTATATGGTTGGAAAGTCCTGTTTAATAGGAACATTTTTTCTGTACAAAGTAAATTGACAGGTTTAAAAATGAAAAAGTTATAAAGATTTAAAAAAAAAAAAATTTGTAGTCCAGGTTGGCCATTACAGTCAAGGTCGGCCATGTTTAAAATTCAAAGGGCATTAATCGTTAAAAAATAAAATAACATGTTTGGAGTTACGGAAAATTGATTCTTTATTGTTTACAGTTTGTAACTTAATGAAATAACAAAATAATAACAATAAACAATATAAAAAAATAAATATAAATAAAAAAAAGTTTTGCACTAAAATATTAATAAAATTAAATAAAAATATTAATAAGATGATCAATTATATTATGAGTTATACAGAATTGCAGTTTCTGCAAATGAAGTAGCTCGTCCTCATCTTTGCGCATTTTAAACACATAGTGGCCGACCTTGACAGTAAGTAACATTACCGAATTGTTGTAACCATAAAGAAATACGTTTCGGGATTCGATTTTTTACTTTGTTTTCCTTTCAACCATGAGTCCCACAAATTTTCTGCATACTTGCCTTGACGATTCAATTTGTTTTTTATCTTTTATTAATGGTTTTTCACATTATGCACAAAACTTTTTTTGAGCTTTTTTTGTACCGACGTCACAGAAAACACAATTTTCGATTTTCCGAAAATGTAATTGAACAAAAAGTTAGGTTTCACTAAGACAAGCTTCGACAAAAATGCGCGTAGGTGGCGCTAGTGAACTTGACAAAAAAACGCGAGTGGCCTACCTAGACAGTAGGCCAACCTTGACTACATTCCCCTACTAAAATATTATTGCTACAAATATAATTTACTTGACTTCAATAAAAATTAGTTGATTCAAGAAAATATTTATTTCAGTCAATTAAACGGTATTTGCTTTAAATATTAAAATATTGGTACACATACAATTTACTTGATTTAAATAAAAATTACTTGATTCAAGTAAATATTTATTTGATAACAGACAAATAATCGTTTATTTGAATCAAAGATATTTTTTTTCAGTGGCTCACAGAGAGAATTCAAAATATGTTCGTAAAAATCCAGAAAAATAAATAAAAAAAAAAAAATGATTTTGAATCAGGTGTTCAGTGTAAATAAACGTTATCATTATCAGTGGTAGCTTTTAACGATTAAAAAGAAAATTAGCGGCATGACATTGAAGGACAGTAATTAGCTGTTGTTTATATAGTAAAGATGAGAAAAAAAATTCAAAACTTACTTAATGTCACGAGGGGCAGTTTTTAAGGCCACATAGAACCACCTGAGTCTTCCTCCCGATACAAAATATGCAACAAGAACAACGAGAACAAGTTGTATGATAAAAATTGGGCCCATATAAATCCATAGTGCTGCGAGAATAGCCAATCCGGCCCCCAAGAGCAGCGTGGCCATCACGACTCGTTGCAAAATACAACAAACTGCACTCCAACGTTGTTGGCTCCGACTAAGTTGAATGCCACGTGTGCCGCGCGGCCCTCCAGGTGCTGATGTTTGCTCCCTGACCGACGCCGCCGATGCCGACGTCGAATGGGGATTGCCCCCTCTTGAATCGACCTCCCCTCTCTCGACGTCCTGGTAACAAAAATGAAATAACCGCACGCGGGAGACTGTTATACATATTCATCGTAGACAATATTATAATATATTGTTGTATATAAAATATCACACAGAGAGTTTACAACAGTTTGCGTAAAATAGTCGCAAACTGTCTGGAGAAATGTGAGGAAGGAATGATATCTCTCACTCTCTGAGATAGAGAGAAAAGTGATTCCAGATGAGATCTCTCGTCAGGACTAAAAATAGCGGTAGTTCCCCCCCCCCCAAAAAAAAGAGGTAGTTCAAGTGTTTTTTTTTGCATTCTTATTATATATATTTTTAATTCGATTTTTTTAATAAAAGAATTTGAAATTTTTTAATATGAATAACGATCACTCCGAGTTGCATTCTACTCTTTTATTAAAATTCCACATCAGTTTTTCTTTGAATTTACATAAGTTTTCGTAAAGAATTTACTCTTATATAAAATTTTTCATTTAAAAAAACAAATGTTTAAAATTTATAAGTATTTATTTATTTAATTTTGATTAAAACAATAATAAAAATCTTATGAAGATGACAAATTTGTTAACTATTTATTTTTTAAAACTTGTCCTGTTAATAAATAAATAAAACAATAAAAATGAAAAAATGACTAGGTTTTAGTCATTAAATTATTTTATTTTTTAACTACTTATTTTTTAAAACTTGTCCTGTTAATAAATAAATAAATAAATAAAACAATAGAAATAAAAATAAAAAATTGACTAGGTTTTAATCATTATATTATTTTATTTTTAAAAATGAGAAACAATGCACTTGAACTGACTTTTTTTTTAGATTTTTATTGCTATTCTTTGACCCTCTCTGGCAGAGGTGAATTAACCGTTAATTGAAATTTGTATTGTTTATATTGAGAAGTGGGAAAATTTTTTTCTTAACTAAAGAGTCAGATATTTTATAATATAAAAAAAAGAAAGAAAGGAGAACAATTTTATAGTAATTAATAAAGAATTAATTGGAATTTTAAAAAAATTAAACGATCAAAAAATTAAGAGAAAATAATAAATAAATTTTAATAAATAGAAAAAATAAATAAATCATTTATTGTATAAAAATAATAAGAATAATAATGATAATAGTAATAATAACAATAATAATAATTATTAATAATAACAAAGTACATGTTCCGGTAATCTGTTCGCAGTTTGTTGCTTTTTTGTTTCTTAACTTTTTTTTATAATTTTTCTTTTCAAATATTTTCAAATTTAAAATTAATGTATTGAAAATCATGGAATTGTTGCAAAGAATTTTATCAAAAAATTTGATAATAATAGAATTTCTTCAAAGAATTTTATTATTTAGGAAAATAACTGAATTCTCGCGAAGAATTTTATTAAAATTTTTAAAAATTGTAATTAAATTCTTTTGAAGAATTTCTTTGAATTTTTTTAAACAAATTGAGTTTTTTTTAATAATTTTAATTGATAATTTTGAAAGCAATTGAATTTTATGAAGAAGAATTTTATTAAAATTATATTGAAAGTAATTGAATTCTTGCGAAGAATTTTACTATTTATAAAAATAATTGAATTGTTCCGAACTATTTATTAAAATTTTAGAATATAAATTAATTTTATATTAATATATTTGAAAATTTAAATTCTTTCGAGGAATTCTATTAAAATTGTTTTGAAAAGAATTGAACTTCTGCAAAGGATTTTACTATTTATAAAAATAATTGAATTATTGCGAAGAAATTTACTATTTCTAAAAATAATTGAAATGTTTCGAAGAATTTATTAAAATTTTTGAAAGTAATTAAATTCTTTTGTGTAATTTTATTTAAATTTAAAAAATTATTTTTAATTCGAAGAATTTATTAAAATATTTTAGAAAAAAAAATTGAGTTTTTTCGAAATGTGTTTAAATTTTTTTTAAAAATTAAATTCTTCCGAGAAATTTAATTAAAATTGTTTTAAAAATAATTGAATTTTTGTAAAGAATTTAATATTTAAAAAAATAATTAAATTCTTTAGAAGGTTTTATTAAAATTTTAGAAAATAATTGAATTCTTTCGTGAAATTTTATTAAAATTTTTGAATGTATGAACAGTAATAATTAATTTTGTACGACTTAATAAGTGAATTTTTTAAATTTTGATTATAAAATTATTTAAGAAATTTATATTTGAAAATATTTATTAAATAGTAGGAAATTAATTTAGGTTCCTTGTTAAATATTTATTAAATAGGAAATTAATTTAATTCCTTGTTAAATATTTATTAATTAATATTTAAATTATTAAATGGCTTATTCGAAGTATTTGTTTATTTATTTATTGAATGTGAATTATTATTATTTATTTACAAACCATTCGGTTCAATACATTCTAAAAATATAAAAACTACAATATAAGAACAAAAAAATAAAACATTCTACAAACACAGAATAATAAGACGCTAGGGGTCGCTATTTAACATTTTTTCTAACATTCTTACAAATTTTTTCAATGAGCTTATATCCTGGGTATTTATAATCCTCATCCAAAATACAATTTCTGAGTCACAGTCTTGAATCTCCGGAAAAAATTGTTTTTTCACTTCCTCATGAGCCCCACACTCAACTAAGAAATGATATAGACTGCCCCGATCCAAGCACCAACAGGTATCAACCCACGATTTAACCCTAATATTTTTATTGATGGAAATTAAAATTCTTTGTCTATGTATGTTAGCAAGCCTGAATTGAGCAAATACTCTTTTAAAATATAGTTCCAGGCGTCCCACCAAATAAATCTGAGGCCCCAATTTCATTTCTAGATCTTGCCACATAATTAAACTTTTAGATTTGTATCTGTCCTCCAGATCTTGATTTAGGCAAAATCTCTCGAATTTAGATAATAAGTTATTGGAAATTCTACTTATTTCTTCTAACTCTGATGACTCCCAACATCTCGTCATGTCACAATCTTTAAAAAAATGTTTTATTTGCATATACCAATTAAATCCAGAGTCGGTTCTCCCCCCCCTAGCAAGCTCCATCAGTCTCACCAAACACAGTCTTGGGAACCTAGTATTTTCCATATTATTTATTTTTTTAATCCAAGACAGAGTCTGCGAGAGTAATTGAATGTGAATTATTTATTCATTGAAAGTGTTTAAATTATTTGTTCAATATTTATTTATTAAGATTTAATATCTTAAATATCTCACTGAAAATATTTGTTTATTTATTCATTGAAAGTGATTTATTTACTTATTAAAAGCGTTTTATTTATTAATTTTTTTTATTGTATTATTTAAATAAAAAAAAAATTATGTACACAGTCAAATACTACCTTATCAATAATTCTTTGGCCGATATTGTAGAAAACTGTAAAACGTGAACGTTTCTTTTAAAAATTTTTTTACCGCAATTTTTATATTTGTCGACATTAAATATTTGGCAATAATATTTTTTTTGGAACAAAAAATAGAATTTTGAGTCATGACTAGAATAAAAGAATTTTTTTTTTATTAATTTGTTATAAATTTATTATTATAATTCACCTATGTCTTATATATAATTTTTTATATTCACATTTTAACGAAAAATTTAAATTTAAATTATTTTTTTTTTAAAGTAATTAAACTTCTTCTAAAAATATTTGCATCGCAATTGCAATAACAAGTTCAACTATATGCGATGTCTTGAATTTTGTTTCTCAAACTGTAAAACTTGCAAAACTTGTTTTTATATTACATATAAAAAAAACAACTAATTTTTACGTTTTAAACTTGAATAAACAAATTGTTTAAATCTTCCTCTTATTTTCCGGAAAAGAAAATTTGGATAATTTTTTACGTACTTTTATTCGTATATTAAAAAAATCAATTCTTAGGATAATTAAAGTGATGAATCAAGATTATTTTGAGTTCAACATTTGCATTCATTGCTCAAAATGAATTAAATCACATACACAGACACATTACATATTTCGGTTTGAGAACGGAAGTTACTTTGACCTTTTAATGACCAGTTGAACTTGAAGATATTGTTAGCCCGTTAATTTATACGATTTTTGATTAATATTGATAATTTGCATAAAAATGATTTCACATTTCCTTCAATTCTTTTTTTTTACTTCAATTTGATAGAGAAATTTCCAAAAATAGTATAGATATAAATCTAAATTTTAAAAACGAATGAATTCATTATTAGAAGCCATTTTTAGAACAAAATTGAAATTCTGGAAAATTTAAGTTCAATTTAAAAAAATATTTATTTAATGAATTGAATTTATTGATTTAAAACTTCAAAACTAGTTCACGACATTTATAATGAACGATTAAAGGTGAAAAAATAATTTTCCTGTCGAAAGAATAATATTTTTTGTTTTTAAATATTTATATGTTTTATTAGGTATTAAATAATGAATTAAATTATAATTAAATTATAACTCATTAAATAGAAATAATAATATTGAAAATAAATTGTAAAAATGTATAAAAAGTAATAAAAAATAAATAATAAAAAAAAAAAAAATAATAAAAATTGAGAGTAGTTATCGAAAAGAAATAATAGAAATAAAAATTCGCCACTTTAACATGGTTAGGTACACGAAGAAGATGTAATAATTTGATGATAGTAATTGTCACAATTGTAGTGGACATAATTTTGTTCTAATTGTGATTGCGTGCATATACTTCATAAAGCACATTTCCTAATTTAATTTCATTTTATCAAGGACTTAACACGAAGTGAAAAATTTAATTAATAAATAATTTTATTTGATGAATTAAATTTCGTTGATAAATTATTAAATTAAATATAAAAAGACTCATATTCGAATAATTAAAGAAACAAATTAACTATAGACTACAACATAATGTAAAATATAATTTGTCACATGTTTCTTAACGTTGGTGAAGTTCACAACGTTTATAATCAACGATTTCATAAGAAAAATATTTTTTTAAGCAAATTTTTATTAATTTTTGTATAGAAAATATTTTGGTTAGTATGTTGAATAATGATTTACAAAAGAAATATTTGTGAACAAAAAATTTTATTCTTTTTCGTAGGAAAATAATTTTTTTTTTCAATCGTTGATCATAAACGTTGCGAACTTCACCGACGTGTTTCTTACACGTGATTGCTAAATTAATTGCTAATTAGTTGCTAAATTCATTATAATTCATCATATATTATTAATTCTATAAAATCTAAAAATAGCTAAATTCTATAAATAATTAAATATATAAGTATTCAATTGCAAGAAAGTAAAAAGAGATGATTTTTTGAATTAAATTGAATACTGTAAAATTTCGAAGTAAAATGATTTCGCACAATTTCTTCAAGTGTATGTCAAAATTTTTCTATATATATTCTTTTTTTAAACAAATATTTTTTCGTTAAATAGAATAAATGTGGAAACTCACTTGAAAGAAGAGGCCGCAATTAGCGGTTATGAAAGTGGTGGTCATGCATTTTTGTACGAGACGTTTGAACCTCGTGGTGTGTGCAAATTTTCTCACACTAAATTATACAAAAAAAAAGAAAGAAGAAGCAGAACTCGTTCTACAATGTCTGTTTATTATTATTTATAATATGTAAGGCATAATTTTTTGAGTAAATAACATTCATTATTTTGAAAGTCTATTTGAGAATTATAATAATTATTCTAATTTTAATTATGAACAATTGGTACTTAACAAATTATTTAACAAACATAAAAATCCTTTTGAGCAACCCTTTAGGGCAATAATACTATCGACTTGTCGTTTTTTACTTTGCCAATCAATATCGTTTTAGTGCTGCTATCACGCGAGGAAAATTGGAAGCTCAAGAATATTGCGCCCTTTTGAATGTTTATATTTTATTCTAAAATTTAAAATTTTATTCAATAAATAAATTCCACATTTATTCATGATAAATTGTAAATTTAATTAATTAGTTTCATAATTATTTTGTTCGGTTAAAAATTTTTTTTTTTTCAAACGATTTGTCTATTATCCAGTAAATATTTACTTGAATCAAATAATTTTTATTTAAATCAAGTAATTTAGTCATTGAATTAATTTAATCGTCAAATAAATTTTTTTAAAAATATTTTTAATAATATTTTTTGATATTTTTTGATATTTTTTGAACCTATATTTTATCATCAAATAAATTTTATTTTTTTTTACAATATTTTAAATAATATTTTTTGATATTTTTTAAATTAATTTAATCATTAAATAAATTTTATTTTTTTTCAATATTTTTAATAATATTTTAAAATATTTTTTGACAATTTATATTGGTTTATAAATTTTCAATATTAATAGGTAGCAAATACCATTTTAATTGAAATTAAAAATTATTTTATAAAAATAAATACTTGTTTGATAATATATAATAATCGTTTATTTGAATCAAATAAATTTTTTCTTGCTTCTTGTTTGAAAAGAAGGTGATTTATTAACTTGTTTTATAAAATTATTTAAATAGTTTATTCAAACTTAACTTTTTTATAATTTTATTTATTATTGTTTATATTATTATTATTATTATTATTATTATTATTATTATTATTATTATTATTATTATTATTATTATTATTATTATTATTTATGTATAAAAAATAGAGCTCGAATCGCTAAGTGGTTGTTATTTAAAAAAAGGAAGTTTTGTAAGGCTTATCCTCAATTTACAATTACACGCTTTCACATTAGTGAATTTTCTTATGTACCTGTTAATCTCCAAAATCAAGTGTGAATTATTTACACACTTTAGAAATTCAGCCATATTAATAAAAAAAATTTTTAATTTTTTAAATAAATTCAACACTAAAAACTATTTATAACTATTGAGAAGTGTAAAATTTCAGTTTTTCTAATTTATATTATTTTTAATATTATATTATTACTATTTGGTACTATTATTATTATTATTATTATTATTGTTTTTTCTTATTATTATTTATTTTAATTAATATTATTTTTTCTTTATTCATTTTCACTGAAAATTTTTTTTTTGATTCAAGTAAAAGATTATTTGTCTATTAACAAATAAATATTTACTTGAATCAAGTAATTTTTATTTAAATCAAGTAAATTGTATACTTATGCCAATAATATTTTAATATTTGAAGCAAATACCATTTAATTGACTGAAATAAGTATTTTCTTGAATCAACTAATTTTTTTTCAACTCAATTAATTTGTATTCGTGCGAAAAATATTTTAGTATTTGAAGCAAATACCATTTAATTAGTTGAAATAAATATTTTCTTTAATCAACTAATTTTGATTCAGATCAAATAAATTGTATTTGTACCAATAATATTTTGGCATTTGAAGCAAAATACTATTTAATTGTTTGAACTAAATGTCTTCTTAAATCAGTTGATTTAAGAAAAAATTTTTATTGAAATAAAATAAAAAAAAATTGCTTGAACCAATAATATTTTAGTATTTGAAGAGAATACCATTTAATTGAGTGAGATAACAATTATTTTCAAATAAACATTTTTATTACCTAAACAATTTATTTTTGAATCTATTTGTTTAAATATTTTTTAATTGTTTTTTCAATTTAAGTTATTTTTTTATTGATTTGAATATTTTTCAATTGGTTTTTTAGTGTTTAAATTAATTTTTTTATTGATCTTAACATTTTTTATTTAATTTCTTTTAATTAATTTTTTTTATTTAATTTCTTTTAATTAATTTTTTTTATTTAATTTCTTTTAATTAATTATTTCTATTTAATTTCTTTTAATTAATTTTTTTAATTTAATTTTTTTAACTTATTAAAATTTTTTTTTCTAATAAATATTTATTTGACAGACTAGTAATGGTTTATTTTAATCGTTTATAATTATTTCTTTCCCGTGTAGTTTATACGGGACAATATTATTTATATAGTGGATTATTTCCAAATGTCCCTATTTATAAATGCATAAATAAATTGCAGAAGAAAAAAAAATTAGATTCGATATCAAAGTTGCTCGATAGTTATAACACTTTATCGATTACGGGATAAAATATTAACAGACTTACTCGATCCTTGAAACCTGTTGAATTTGAAATAATCACACTCTTGATATTTCCATTACTGACATTATTATTAACAGGTTTAATTTCCTCTGGCATGATTACAATTTTTATTTTTATGCTTTCACAATGTCACTTGAAAATTATAATCACACTATTATTCTCTTCTTTACCGCATGTTTACCGGCTTTTTTTCTAGAAGTCTCATCTACGTTTATTCACGCACACTTTTTTTTTTTAATAATGTATTCCTCATTTGTCAAACACACTCGATATCTGAAAAATTGTAAATATCCTTTTTATTTCACTTTGAGAATGATGCTTCTGGAAGATTGACTTTGGCAGTGTAATTATTAGTTTTTAAAAAAAAGTGTAAAGAAAGGAAAAAATTTTGCAGTTAAAATTAAAATAAGCCGGTTGGAAATAGATTGAAATATTATTAACTGGGTTCTTTGCTCCAAGAATTAAAAATATGTTCTATAAAATTATGATAATTATTAAAGTTATTCAAAACTTAGTTTTTTTTAACTCTTGTTAAAAAATTGTTTTATTTTATAGAAATAATTTAGAATTTGGCACATTTTAGTCTTTCACATTTTTGCGCTCGAGATGAAAATTTTTTCTTTAGATAAAAATAAATGATAAATTAATTTTTTTGTTCAATAAATAAGTAATTGTTGGGGTGTGTTTTTCGGTGGATTTTTCGAGATCACTTTCATATTAGGAATACCTACTCGCGAAAAGATCTTGAAACGGACTAAAGTAATTTTACTGTCGACAAGAGTGCTAGGCCTGTCAGGTACATAGTAGCCTCCCTCCATTTACAGTTCGAACTGTATATGTTCTTTACATCGTAACCTATTGCATTCTGTGTATTTTAGACTTAATGATAGGCATATGTTGTGATTGATATAGCCAGGAAGTTGTACTTTTATACATTGTTCCTCAAATGATAGCCTACTTTCACATTTAACTCTTATATTTCACAAACTACCCGCCTCATTCATTTCATAGGTCTAGGTTGTCACATTAAATCATTTTTTTTTCACATGAGAAACATTATCTCGCTATTTTCCTGTCTGCGATTTAAAAATTATTTCTTTTTAAAATAATCATTTTATTATAATGAAATTATTAAGTTAAAATTAATTTTCAAATGATTTTAATTTCATTAAATATTTAATATTATATTTATTTATTTATTTATTTAAACAAATTAAAATTTTTTTAATTTTTTAATTATTATCTCTTGAATATTTTTTCAAAAAAATTAATAATTATTATTAATTGTTATTATTATTCATAGTCTGGTTTGTCAAACTAAGTTATGTTTTCACATGAAAAAAATGATCTCTTAATTTTTCCGTTTGCAATTTAAAAAAAAAATTTTAATTCTTTATATTTTAAATTAATAATTAGGTTATAAAAATTATTATAATTCAAAATTAATAATTTTTAAATGATTTAAATTTAAAAAAAACTTTACAAATTAAATTTTTTGATAGTGGCGTAAAATTATAACAATTAAAATTCAATTTGAAAAAGAAAAAGACAAATCTCTTTCATTGTAAAGTTCTGAATTTACATTATTTAAATAATTTAAATAATTAAAATTTTTAATTTAAATTTAAATTCTTTATATATTAAATTAATAATTTTTAAATGATTTAAATTTAAAGAAACTTTACAAATTAATATTTTTGATAGTGGCGTAAAATTATTACAATTAAAATTTAATTTGAAGAAGAAAAAAATAAATTTCTTTCATTCTAAAGTTCTGAATTTACATTATTTAAATAATTTAAAATATTTAAATTTTGAATATAAATTTAAATGTTTTATATATTAAATTAATAATTAGATTATAAAAATTATTAATTCAAAATTAATCATTTTTAAATGATTTAAATTTAAAGAAACTTTACAAATTAATTGTTTTGATAGTAGAGTAAAATTATAACAATAAAAATTTAATTAGAAGAAGAAAAAAATAAATTTTTTTCATTCGAAAGTTCTGAATTTAGATTATTTGAATAATTTAAACTATTTAAAATTTAAATTTAAATTTAAATTCTTAATATGAGGAGTATGTTTTCAAAACGTGATATAAGTCCAAATTTTGTCATTTCACGAAATTTAAACAAATGACAATTCTGACATAATCATTGAAATTAACTTTAATGTAGAAAAATTGTAATAAATTATTTAGTTTTGAATATTTTTTCTATTTAAACGCACTGTTTGTAATAAGAGTCTATTGTAATAAGGAAATTTAAAGGTTTTGGTAATTTTTTCTAATAAAAAAATTAAAATCAAAAATCATTAAGGTTAGGCCAAAATATTTTTTAAATTGAAAATTCTTTGGTAATAAATTTTTTTTTTCAATTAAACAGTAATAAATCAATTTCTAAGGATTTTAATATTTTTAATATATGTGTTTATCTCAATTTTTTGAAAAATGGATTTATCAAATTTTGAAAAATTGCTCCTCATATATTAAATTAATACATAATTATTTTATAAAAATTAGTAATTTGATATTAATAATTTTTTAACAATTTAAATTTAATAATAATAATAATTAATATTTTGAATTATTAATTTAAAATGAGTAATTTTTAAATTGCAGATTGAAAAACTTAGAGATAATTTTTTTCATGTGAAAAAATTAGTTGAGACAAAAATATTTTTTGGCATTAATTACTTATACTGTTTTTAATTAGAAAAAAATATTAGATGATCCTAAAATTCAGAACTTTCTAATGAAAGAAATTAATTTTTTTCTTCTTCAAATTAAATTTTGATTGAAATTACGCCAATAGCAAAAAAATATTTGCTTATGAATAAATTTTTTTTCAATATTTAAATCAATATTACAATTATCTTTGATTGTATTTAATTATAATAATTAAATTGTATTATTTTTGTTCAAAAAATGTTTGTTGGTTCAAACACAATTTATTTGATATTCGAATAAAAATTAGTTTATTCAAGTAAATATCTTTTTGATAATAGAAAAGTAATCGTTATTTGAATGAAATAAATTTTTTCAGTATTTATTTGAAAGATCAATAATTGTGGATCGTATTAATATAGTTGAATTTCGTTATTAATTATTAAGTAATAATTTTTTTTTTAACTTGTGTATCATATTATTAATTGCATTCTATTATTAATTATTAATTATTAATTATATTAATAATCAATAGTTTTATTTGAAAAATGTTCAAAAGATTGATAATGTATAAATTAATGCGCTAATTTCGATTATGTAATAAAAATAATTATTTAAAAATGTATTATTAAAATTCCTTGTTGAATTTATTATTAAAATTCTTATTTTAATAATTTTAATAATTTTTTATTTTAATAATTTTTAATTAAAATACTTTATTCAATTTATTACTAAAATTTATTTATTGAATTATATTTTGGAGTAAAAATATTATTTGCAATTAATTATACCTGGTTTTAATTGATATTAGTTGGATTTTATTATTAATTATTAATATTCAATAAGTTTATTGCTACCTCATGGGGAAAGTATTTGAGAAATATTTAAGAAATTGTAAACATGTTAAATTATTTTAAATTATTCTGTATTACTTATTGTTAATTTTATTTGACAAATATTCAAGAGATTGTTTTTATAAAAATTAATAGTTTCTATTTGTTAATAAATTATTTTTTGATTTTTTTTATATTTTCGAGTAAAAATATTATTTGTCTTTAATTAGTGTTTGTTGGATTTTATTATCAACAATATTAACAATTTTTTTTTAATAATACTTAAGAGTTTCATTTATTATTATTTATTACATAATTAATTATTAATAATTAATTTTATTGGACAAATACTTAAGAGGTCGTTAATATATTAATTAGTGTGATAGTTTCTCTTCGGTGAATAGTTATTTAGTTTTTTGTTTTTGAATATTATTGTTTGTCAGGAATTAAAGATATTGTTTTAATTTTATTAACCGTTCATTTATTTATAATAATACTTCCTTTATTATAAACGTCCATTTCATTATTTGAAAACGAATAATAATAAATAAATAAATAAACGAATTGATTAATTATTTAATTATTTAATTATTTAATTAGTTAGTTAGTTCATAATAACAATACTAGTTGAGAGTTTCATTTAATTTCAATTTTGTATTTTCATTTTTAAAAGTCAGTAAAAATAAAAAAAAAATTGTTGAATTTTATAAAGAATTTTTTTTCACAAAAGTACGGTTTTTATAATTAATTTCGAACCTCTTTGGAGAGTTTTAATTTTTATTATGTCTCTATTTACTTTTTGTCGTTGAATTTCTTAATGGGTGTTATTTTTCCATATCAGAAAATATCTAGTGCATGAAGAGACGTTTGAAGTAAACTTGTATTGTTCGTCTTCGTATCCTACTTTCTCGGCAATTAGATACACTCAAAGGCTAGTGTATAGGTACATGTTGGTACATTTTAGTCACTGCGAAATGTGCAAGAAAAAAAAATTGAACGATTCATTAACAATTTAACAAATCGTAACTTATTCTTTTTTTTGCCATTTTCTCATCAATTCGATATCATGCCTGTAGTATACGTTGATTTATCTGTCTTCGGTTTGAAAAGGGACGAATTCACTTTCACTTTATTCAAGGTTTCTTTTGCATTAAATTCTTCTTGGATATAATTTTTTTGTTTTTTTTTCTTTTTCTGAACAAATTTTTTTTTTTTTTTGAACTATTCTCTCCTACTTTCTCTGTTTATCTCCTGAAGGTATTTATTAAATTTTTCTCTATCGTGTTATATAGTTGAAAATTAAAAATTGACAGAATTTTCAAAAGAGTGCAAAATAATTTTAATATGTCAAGGTTGGGTGTAAGAGATGATTTCATGTTTTTTGTACCAAAAAAAATGTTCGCTGCCGGACGATTATATTATGTAATTTTATGTCCTTTGGTCATAAATTTTTTTATGCTCATCAATAAAACGTTGATGAATTTTCAAATAAATCTCGATAAATAAAATTATTGTTCGTTTAAAAATAATGAAATGGACATTTAAATGGAAAAAAGAATAATTCGCGATGCATATAATTATGTAATTGATTATATTGCGTTTATGGAAAATGTTTCTGGTAAACAAAAGAAACTAAATACCTTACACAATGTACGTAGGTCGATGATTATGAAAGAGAGATTTTGTATAAGCCATGGCGTTGATATTGTGTTTGATGATTAGCTTCATGTTAGCTTCTATGGTGGAATGTAGGCAGTCGTAGGGCAAATCAATGTAATGATGATGAAACATTTAATTATTGGCAATACAATGCATGAAGCAGACGTAAGTTTTTATTATTTTATTTTAGCTATTTTTTTTCTTTTATATTATTTTATTTTCTTTTATATTTTTGTTTTCTTTTATATATTTTTGTTTTTTTATATTTTTGTTTTTTTTATATTTTTGTTTTTTTATATTTTTGTTCTCCTTCTATATTTTTGTTTTTTCTTCAACTAATTAGTGGTTTTTGCGTTTTATTTTGGAAATTTCAATTTCTGTTTGTTATGTAATAAAAGAAAATTAGTATCCGGTTAGTTATTTTGTCAGAATTGTGATGATTAACTTTTATGTTATTTTTCATATTCAAATTATTCAAGTTTAGAAATAAAAGTGAGGAAAATTTATTGTTCTGTTGAAAGATTTTTGATTAATGAACTCTTTTTTTTTTCTTTTGTGTATAGATTTGTTCTAAACAGAAAAAATAATTTAGTGATGAATATGTTTGACTAACGGTCTGCTACGTACATTTACATCTATATAATTCTAACGAGAACCTTAAATTTAGTATT